GTTACCACAGGTAAGAAGCCCATTGGGTACAGTGGTGTAAAATAGCCTGAGATGACAAGGCAGTTGTACACTGATCACTATTTCCAACTCCCTGAAATAAAGGACAGACACTGTCATTGTCCTAAAGTTATAACTACGGAGGCAAAAAATATTGAAAACTGCCAAAAAAAAAGTTTGCTGTTTAAATTTCTGAAGAAGATTTTTAAAAGAATACCTCCATTTTAAAACACAGATATTATATATAAGACATATGCTGATCATACTCATGAAAAATGGAAATCACCAATGATACATAACACAAATCTAGCCTATCTGAAAACAATAGAGTTCTCACAAAACATATGATAATTACAATTTGAATTTCTATGATCAAAAGCCTTTTATGTGGTCAAAATGATACAGAGGTCCAATAAGACCTTTGCTAGCTATGATAATGGTCAAACACGGCTCATGTTTTCCACATTTAGTTACTAACTTAAGAATTAATATGGAGATTCACTTCCATAATTTCTGAGTCACATCTAGAGGGATTCTTCCATGAGTGTTCTCTGTACAAGAAGACTACAGCATCCTGGAAACTAAACAGATATCTTCAAAGTGGTATTTTACACTGTCGGTTGCCTCTGATTTTTGACTCCTTATAGGTTTTAAGAACAATATCCATTCCAGACACCAAAGTCCCTAAGACTCTCCAGAGACTGCAAAGAACTGAGACACTTCTCTGCCTGCAGGAGGGGATCTTCTGTCCTTTGTTCAGAGACTCCATTAGTGATGCTTAAATGTTTCTCAGAAGAGAAATCAAGTGTTGGAATTCACTTCCCTTTGAGTTTAGAAATATTGATTATGACTTTTAAAAGAGCCAAAGAATCATAATGACATTTCCTGAGCCACATACTTTGTTCTAATTAACAGTACTTATAATATCTTCCAACAAAGTTTCAAATAATGAGAATTTACCTGAATGAAATGGAGCCACAGACTAAGTGCCCCTGCAATCAGTACTAGGGAAAATTCTGCAGCGTCTACAAAGGCATTTTATAAAGTAACTGGTAACGTTCTGAGTCCTCATTTTATTTTTGACAAAAAAAAAAAAAGAAGTTGCATATTTGGAATGTCAAGTTCTCAAAACTAGTAAGTGGTAAATAAAAGGTTCAAATCAAATATTTTCCAGCTCTGAGCTTCTTCTAAAGTCATGACATAGGATCAGATGTCTGCTACTTTAGAGAGACATGAAATGTTTTGTGTTTAAAAGGCCAAGAAACTGTTGGAAACTAAAGTCTTTTCAAACTAATGTGGTTAACAGACATTAGCCATAGAGGCATAACGGACTCAGGCGATGAATTAAAACAGAGACCGGAATTGAGGTCACAGCACTAAGGGCTTCACACACACACATGGCTTCAGGTGGCAAACACTGTCTGGTACTTCCCACATTTTCTATCCCCTATGAAATGTTTGTTTGAGAATGCAATGATTAATCCTGCTTTTCTAATTAGGAAATTACAGTTTAAAGTGATCACACTAACTACCTAAAGCCACAGCTCAGAACTATAGAGCCCAGATTGTGGCCATGGAAGATTAATCTTTGTCTTTGAGCTCTGACACGTTGTGGAATTTTATTACTCTATTCCATGCGGACTTCAGGGTAAACACAGACTGCTAGGAATATTTTAGCCATTTTATACTGCATAAATGAAAAGTGGGGCCATATATTCAGTATTTTATGAGAACCTAAAATTTAGATGAAATCACAGAAATTAGTGTACGTGAAAAAGTTTAAAAGTATATATGTTTATAAAGCCACAGGCAATTGACAATGGCTGAGAATGTCTGTTCCAGAGATGGGCCTCCAATCTCAAGCAATCACAGCCCTAAACACATATACATATGAGGAACAATAAATGAACTTATAAGGTTTCATTCATAAGAGTGTGTGTATGTGTCTTTGGGTCTGTGTAAAACAATAATAATTAAAGAATAAGAGGTTATGAAGTTAAGGAGGAGCCAGAAGGACATAAGAGGATTTGAAAGTATGACAGGGAGTAAATGTTATAAACACAATACTTAAATATGAAATTAAATAAATATTTATCAAAATAAATAAATAGGACAAACAAAATAATCTGCCCCTTTATTTCTAAGATTGACTAAAAAAAATATGTTCCTTTCAATGTCTTTGCTTTGGTAGGAAATTTTGTCATCTATTTCTGAAAGTTGGCGATTCAGCTTTCTAAAATAAATGCTAGAAAGGCTAAATGTACCTCCTGGTTAGTTTACCACAGCAATGGTTCTTCCGTGTCCTTGCTCGTTGCTTAGCAACAGATTGTCTGAGGTTACATTAGAGCTGACAGGTCTGGGGGATGATTGACTATGTAGAATACTCAGAGGAGAGCATTGCATGTCTCAAATGGATATAAGAGAAAAAGGTGCAAGAGTGGACTTGCTGATGGCGATGAACTCATGCCAGCAGCATCAGTAAGGGTGAAAACATAAAGAATTAAAATAAAAATAAATATGCTGAAAATATTGCTTTGTTTTTTGGCTGTCTTGTTGCTGGACGTATGCTAGGAGAGCATGGGTGTTTTGTTACTCACTTACTGTTTTCTTTTATCATTCCTCTCCTTTTTGTTCACTTATATTCTTTCTTCTGTAAACATTCCCCCCTCTCCTCCTTCTTGTCCTCTCTCCCTCCCTCTCTTCCTCTCTCTTTTCCTCCAAACATGTTCCCTTATTCCAACTCTCCTTTTGTCCAATGGTAAAATGATACAGAATTCTAAATAGTTTCTTTATGATGATATTATGTTTACCTATATCAACTTTCAAATGGATAATTTTAATCTTCTATTTTGTGTGTTGTTCAAATAAAACAAAATTCAAAAACTTGTCTTTAAAGTAAAGGTCTCCTATTTTGACTAACAAAACCTCTCCATGAGTTTGTGCAAGCTTGCATAAATATCTACTTTATTTTAAAAGGCGTTCTTGGTCCAACAAGATGGCTTTCTTGGCAAGGGTTCAACTCCCAGGACCCACCTGGTGGAAGGAGATAACAGCTGGCTCCTCTGATCTTCAAGCTCCCTGCAACACACGTTTATTCGCGTTAGTTCTTAATGAAAAGGTCCAATTGCCAAATTAATAGTCTGTAAAAGAAGACACAATAGGCCCTTCCCATTTCAGAATTACTAGGTATGCTCAAGTATCTGTATGTATTTAAGTTACATATATATTGTTGTCAAAAACCACAAAGTAGGGGGCTGGAGAGATGGCTCAGAGGGTAAGAGCATTGCCTGCTCTTCCAAAGGCCCTGAGTTCAATTCCCAGCCACCACATGGTGGCTCACAACCATCTGTAATGAGGTCTGGTGCCCTCTTCTGGCCTGCAGGCATATATGCAGGAAGAATATTGTATACATAATAAATAAATAAAAATATTAAAAAAAAACACAAAGTAAATAGGTGAACAGTGACATAAGCATGTTGTGGAAGCCATATTTAATTACTTCTTGATGACTGCCTAACACAAACTTGAAAAATTACAACTTTAGTATTTGTGGAAATATGAGGAACTAAGACTCATTAATTCCAAACTAAAAAATCTTGGCTTTATTTAAGGTAGAATGCCTATGCACAGAAGCCCATCCATCACAAGAGTTAAGGGTTACCAGGAAACTTGATAATATGGACACTTGACATGCATTCCACTAATCCCACTCCCCAGCCATAGCTTACACCTGGTGCAGTGTCCAGTGTTCCCATATACTGACCCAGGAGAAGACAGAGTCTTCCCGTGTGTCACTTTGTTCCCTTGGCATATATCAATAAGATGAATTGCAAATTGTTGACAGTTTATCCCCAAATATATTTAAATGTTCTGAGTAGATAGCTTTGGAGGGATATGAAGCAGGCAGGCCTTTGAGGGCCGAATGTAGATGATGTATGTTTTCTACACTAGAAGCTGCATGTTGGCTTTTTTGGCTCAAAGTAGATGTTCAGGATCTCCCTACAATTTATAGCTTATTTTTGTTTTTATATAATTAGCTTTATAAAATTAAGACATACCCATGGAAATGAACTCACAGTATTGTCTCATGCCTCTAGTCATTCTTTCCCTAATGTTTCCTGTTTTCTTCCTATCTGTTAGGACTACACTACTCTCATTTGCACTAGCTTTCAGCATCATTTTCTAATTTTCTAACTTGAACGGTAAAGTGTTTATTTACTTGTGCAATCCTCCTTTTACCCCATTTTCAAGTTCTCATCCATTTGAACTATATTTATCTTCATTTTTCTGTTGGATTTTGATTTGACCTGAACCTCTGTCTATTTCCAGTCTTACCTAACATGTCTGTTTTCTACTGTGTATTGGTTGGTTTTTTTTTTTTTTCTATGCTGTGGTAAAACACTGTGACCAAGGAAACCAATGGAGGAAAAGATTTACTTGGTCCAGAGTCACAGTCTGGAGTTGTGAAGATACAAGGCAGAATGAAGCAAGCATGATTCCTGGAATAGGAGGCTAAGAGCACTTATCTTGAATTGAAAGCAAAAATCAAAGCGCTTGCTATCAGTGATAGGAGGCTTTAAATTCACAAAGTCCATTCCAGAGTAGTTGATGCTAGGGTTCAGTTAGCTTTCTCCTTTTTATGAAGTCCTGGATCCCAGGCCATGAACTGGTACTGCCTACATTCAAGGAAGGTCTTCAACTTCAGTTAATCTAATGTAGAGACTCACCCCCAGCCATATCTACAGTCGTGATCCATATATATCAACATATATTATCCCTCACAGTTGGGTCTAGGGTCCTGCCTCCTAGGCAACTGTACGTCCCATCAGGATGGCTATAAGAGCAATCATAGTCTCAAAATACACCCTGTACTAGAGTTGGTTGACATTAGCTTTTAAAGTATCTTCTCTAGAAGTCATGTAGTTACGTTTTCTCTTCTTTACTTTTAACCAGGTCTCTTAGGTAAGGAGCCAAAGGGGAAATAAAACAAACAGGATGAAAAGATGGCGATGCTGCCTCCCCCAGGACCGCAGAGCTTTGTCTACTTCACCAAACAGTCTCTCGCCCTCATTGAGCAGCGCATTTCGGAAGGAAAAGCCAAGGAACACAAAGACGAAAAGAAAGAAGATGATGAAGAAGGTCCCAAGCCCAGCAGCGACTTGGAAGCTGGCAAACAGCTGCCCTTCATCTACGGAGACATTCCCCCTGGGATGGTGTCGGAGCCCCTGGAGGACCTGGACCCATACTACGCAGACAAGAAAGTAAGTTATTGAGACTCCAGTGGTAGAGATCTGATGACTTCATTCCATCCAAGGATATGTGAAACTTAATGACTTCATATCATGAGCCTTATATTAAATACATATTAGCATGTTGAGAATATGTTCTTTTTGTAATATTTCATTAAAACTGGTAGTGGAATTGGCCTTCTTATTTGATTTGGTTTGATTAATTCCTTCAACATATTCAATAGAAAATCTGCCTTTTTAGGTATGGAATAATGAACACGTCACCTATAATTTTATAGTTATGTGTTGGGAGCAGTTGAGACCCCAGATACCGAATTTCTTGTAATCCCCTGATCTGAGTGCCTACAGCTGCTCTGAGCACGAGACCTTCAGGAGTTCCTGATGGCAGGAGAGTGGTTTCTGGTGCATTTGGCTGGGGCGTGGCTATCTCTATATAATCTGCCCCTGAACACAATAAAGGGGGCATTCTTGGGGATTTCAAGGATGACCCGTGTTGCTGTCTTCTCTATGTGTGTTTGTGTATTTTAACCTCCAGCCCCCTTACCCAAAGCTCGCATACTGGTGGGTAATAGCGCACCGAGCGCAGACACGGGGGTACGGTGTGCGGCACTTATGACTATAATTTTTTACACTTATTTATTAAGTAGGGTGTATGGATGAAGTCCCAGCTTGTATTGAGTCAATTCTCTACTTTTACTATGTGAGGCTTAGGGATTAACTAAAGTCATCATCAGGTTTAGAAGAAAATGGCTCTACCTGCTGAGGTATCTTGCCAGCTATTCACATTAATATTTAATTCTTGTGTGTATGTGGATTTAAAAATTTCTTTAAAGTTTTATTACAAATGAATAATGATAGCATATGTAAATCACTATACCTTAGTAACGTTTTTATTTTCTGGTGAGAGAGAGAATGGATTGGATTCGAGGGGAGGTGGGAAGGAACTGGGTGGAGTAGAGAGAAGGACAACAGTAATCAGTATATATCATGTTAGGAAAAAGTCTATTTGCAATAAAAAAATATATAAAACACCAAAGTTGCTCTTCTTATTCTTTTAAATTTTGATTGCAATGTAACTTTGTCTTGCAAAGACTGTGTAATAACATAGTGATTTAAACATTAAATTTTGACTCCTTTCTTTGCCTTTTATGACACAATTCCTTGCCATGCATTTGTCAAAACCAGTTTGTTGAGACAATGCTTAACTTAAAAAAAGATAGATTTCCCCTACAAAAGACACAGACTTATGAGCTCATGTTCCCAATTTGGTGAAAAAGATTTATTGTAGGAAGCTTGTTTATAACTATATATAAAACTCAGTTTAAAAGTACAACAAAAGAAAGAGATCACTGCTTTCTAGACAGCACAAGCATTTTGCCTTCTAAGTACAGGGAATCATAATTTAGGCTTAGGGTTTTAGACTTAGTATTTCTGAGTTCATAGCCTAACATTGTTTTAATATGCTGAGGTTAACATTTTTTATTTGTCTACCTAAATGCAAAATGTATGAGATATGTCACTTGCCTTGCACCGGACAAAACACAATATATGTGTTCTTTTTATACCTTTATTGATTGTGGCTTTCACATCATGCATTCTGATCCCACTCATCTCCCTGTCTCCTCCCTCTCCTAAATCAAAACCAAATTTAAAAGAAGAAAAAAAACAAATACCAAACAAAAACAACACAAAAACAAAACCAAAGAAGGTGAACCTTGTGGTTGCTGTAGTGTGGCCCGTTGAAACATACAATTTACCTTTTAGTCCATTCATCTTTACTTGCAAGTGTTCGTTTCCATGAGTCGTTGGTCTGGCTAAAGGAAACAAAATATTTTAAGGGTTTTTTTTATCTTAAAAATTTTAAACAAACTTTTAAAACTGAATTTGGCCAATGAACTCCAGGACTGTGTATTTCCAGTAAAGGAAGAACTGAGCTACATACAAGTATATATTATTTTTAACAATATCAATGAATGAACTTTTTAAAATTTTTTCAACGTTATAGTTATATAAGTAAAATACGAGAATCAAACTGAGTAGTTGGAAGGATGGTCCCAAGCTAGGGAGACAGCTCCATCATCAAAGTGCCTGCATTGCAGGAGGCCCTGTGTTTCTGCCCAGAAACCACATTAAAAAGAAAAATGGACTTTATGCTTTATAACCCTTGCCCTGAGAAGTCAGAGATAGATATATCCCCTGTAACCCACTAGACAGTCTACCCAGCAGAATCTAAGAGCTACAGGCCAGTGAAAGACCCTGTCCTAGGTCGGTTATATCTGAGAAATACAAGTAAAGTAGTCCTCTGGCCTCCACATTTGCATGTGCATCAGAACCCTTAGGCAACACGTGCACACGCACACAAACACTGAAAAAAGAGGATATTTTCAATTCTGACATGCCTTACTTGTGAAAATTTTTTGACCAGTTTTGTATAAACTATGATAATTCTCAACAAGCTTAAAAGCTTTCAAGGTATTGTGGTAAAAAAAAAAAAAACAGTAATAGTTTCCACTCAATCTTAAACTCTTTGTAACAGAAAAGAAAAATGTATTCTTAAAGCCAGTTTAGGTTATGACAGGTGATTGTAATCACTGAAGGACTTTGATAAAGGAAAGACTTAATGCTTTGAAGGCTTCCTCGATGGGCCCATCTCACTCCCCATGGTCTGCAGGGGGCTGAGAAGATCTATGGCTGTCATCCAACACATCACCACAAACACATTTACATCATGAGACTTTTTTTTGCTAGCTTTATTTTGGGGCAATTCAGCATGAACTTTGTAGTTCATGATGTGTTGTGGCAGCGGTTAAAGACTGACCACGCCTACAAGTGAGTTATATACATCCTGGTATACATACTTGTGTATAGCTCAAGTCTTCATTTATTGCGAAGAGGCAGCCTTGAAGTCCGTTGACCAAAGTGACTGACACCTGCTGAAAGGCATTGGAACTTCTTGCAGAGTTCCATGGCAGCCTTTCTTCTGCCCTGTGCTGTGGAGGTATGAACTTCTCACAGCATTGCGTTGGATGGAAATGCTGGGAATATGGTGTCATCCTGATTCTTTTTTTTCTCCTGCAGACTTTTATAGTATTGAACAAAGGAAAAGCGATCTTCCGCTTCAACGCCACGCCTGCGCTGTACATGCTCTCACCCTTCAGTCCTCTAAGAAGAATATCTATTAAGATTTTAGTACATTCATATCCTTTCCGAAGCCTGGCTTCAGCAATGCCCCAGGATGCTGGGCTGGCTCCTGTCCTCGGACCTAGATGTGGGCTCTTCTGCACCTTGAGAGGTCTTTATAGATTCCAATATAAATTATTCTCATAAGAAAATGAGAGGGTGGTCTTATTAGCGTTTTGGAATAGGTTAATTTTATTCAAAGCACAGAAAGAATAATCTATGCATCCATTTCAATTAATTTCTAAAGAAAAGTTGAGTTTGTTTACGTGTCAATAAGTTCTTCCCTTTGGTGGTGTCCCACACTCCTTGACTAAGAGCTACCTTATTCAGCATGCTGATCATGTGCACAATTCTGACGAACTGCATATTCATGACCATGAGCAACCCTCCAGAATGGACCAAAAATGTAGAGTAAGTGTGCATTGCTGTATTTTAAAGTAGGGCTAAGTGGTCATTTTCATGATTTTTTTTATCCTTCTAGAAGTTGAGTCTATAAAACAATGTAGTTTATCTTTTCATGCATACAATTTTATTTCAGTTTTTCCTTTCCTCTGTGTTCATTCATTATTTGAATCATTAGATGCCACCATGTTTAAAAGAGTGAACTTGTCATATCCCCTTGCATGTTCATAAACATGATACGCACATCATGTTAGTGGCTATGTTCTTCTTAAGCACTCTATTGGGCTTGTCTAGGCAGATCTATTACCTATGTTCTCAGTTCCTTAAAAACCGTGTCTTCTGTGAGTAGCTCTCATAGGGGCATTTTAAGAGTTCCTGGAAATTTCTTGTGTAGTATATTCTGTGAGGTGGGGTGATCTACACACCAGCAGCATCCGGGAGATGCTTCAAAAAACTGTAAAGATTTCAATGGGATGTGATTCATTTCACACCTAACATTTCAACCGATTATTTTCCTTAGATACACTTTTACTGGAATATATACTTTTGAATCACTCATAAAAATCCTTGCAAGAGGCTTTTGCGTGGGAGAATTCACCTTCCTTCGTGACCCTTGGAACTGGCTGGATTTTATTGTCATTGTTTTCGCGTAAGTACTCTCAATTTTTTTGAACTGGAAAATTTATGGAAGTCTCAGAACAGTATTCCAGTAAAAAAACAACTTTTGGAGACTGATTTTTCTTGAATGCAATAGCTATATTTAAAGGTAAAGGATTTGTATATAAATTACTTATTCATAGTCATATTTTTTTCAGAATGTGTTTTTCACTCAAAATACATTTAATGTGGAGATTATCTTTCTTCCTGCCCAGGACTTGAATTGACATGTTTGCATACAGTGTCAATTAGGTACACACTTTTCTTAAAATTTTATTTAAAAAACTTAATAGTGTGTGAGACACACTCTCAGTGCTCACTGTGGACTAAGCCTCAGATTTTAAGCACAGTGTCTGTGTTCATGAGCTAGTAAATACATTAAAACAAAAAAGTTATACTGTGTACTGCTCCTACCATTAATGTATTGTAAAGCTATTGCATGGGCACCATAGTCTGCTTTAGGTATAATTTAAAGTTATTTATATCTTTTTGAAAATGCATTTAACAGAAACATTTATAAAGTCTCAACCTTAAGAATTTTCTCTTTTGTCTTGAATTACAAAAGTAATTGATATCTATCTGAGACATTTTGACAATTCAAAACGGGTCTTAGATTTCTAGTCTCGGGGTCCGTCATCCTTGCCCACCTTCTCGCTCATCATGTTTCCTCCGATAGAAAAGCTGTAGCTCCATTGTCTCCTGTGGATAAGAAAATGGCAAGATGGATACCCTTCTCCTAGCTCCTCATTCTCTATTGCTAAATTCTTGTGTCACAAGGTTCAGCCTTTTTAAGTATGCAATTCAGTGTTTTCTAGTATGTTTGGAAATTGTACAGCTATCACTACTATCTAAATTGAGACTATTTTACTCACTCTGAAAAGAAATCCTTCACTGATTACTAGTGACCTCCTAATACAGACTCTTGGAAACACTCTATTGATTTTGCTCTATGAGAACCCTGAATGATGAACATTTCATCTGGATGGAATTTGTTGAGTTTGGCTTCTTTTCCTTAGTATAGTGATTTCAATGTTTTAAAGGAGATTAAAACTATGTATTACTATACTAACCTGGTAGGGGAAGCATTAAATTGTTTAGGTAAATGAACCACATTAAAATACAATACTTGTATTTTTATCAAATGATTCAAATCCATATATATTAGGTTACATTAGGTTAGGGGAAAAAAAAGACTTGCCAAACTACAGCTAGAAAATACTTAACAGTAACAGCACGGGTGAGTATTATAGACTCTACCTAGATTCTGAATAACTCTGATTTAATTCTACAGGTATTTAACAGAATTTGTAAACCTAGGCAATGTTTCAGCTCTTCGAACTTTCAGAGTCCTGAGAGCTTTGAAAACTATTTCTGTAATCCCAGGTAAGAAGTGATTGATGTGGAGCATTAGGCCACTCAACTCCAGCTGTTTGGGAGTTTTCTTTGTCTGCGTGTGTGTTGTCACTGTGTCTGTGTATAAACCCCCTATTGCAGATATGTGACAGAGTTTGTGGACCTGGGCAATGTCTCAGCGTTGAGAACGTTCAGAGTTCTCCGGGCATTGAAAACTATTTCAGTCATTCCAGGTGAGAGTGGGGTTAAACACAGGGGCTGACTTTGACCTTTAAGAGAAAAGCAGTTCCTTCTAGAGCTCAAACCAAATTACATTTCTTCCATTTTGCATCGCAATCTTTATTTAAAAAGTCAGCCCTTGAGTTTAAGCAGCTGCATGGGTCTTGGAGAAGGCAGATGACCATTTGGCTCACATCTCCTCTTGAAATTTTTCCTTCTGCCAAAGGGCTGATTTTCCACCTTTTCAGGAAGGAAAATTTCAACTAATCAAAACTTTCCATAACGAAGAAGATAAGACATTTCCGCATGTGGGCAGTGCATGAAACTGTCTCATCTCCTTCAGCAAACTGTTTCTTGTGTGAGAACTGCTTCAGTAGACGTTGTCACTGTGAGCTTTCATTCAGTTTCTTACATTTTTTGTTTCATTACGTAGAGGTAGTTTGTTTGACTAACGTTTACTGAATTAGTGATTATAAAAGCTACATTTGTGAGTGAGTGTGGCTATGGTTTCAGCAAGCATCATACTTAACGAGTGAATCTGAAGATTCTTTGGGAATGTTTCACTAGTTTCAACCACTTGCTGAACTTCATAGAAACAAATTGTGCAGATCCACACTTTTGAACCAGAAGCCTTCTCTGGTTTCAATTCAAGGCCATTGACTTGACATAATGCATGCATTTCTAGTAAGGCTTGTCTTTTGATGTGCTTCTTATTCAGAGTCTTTATGTCATTGTGAATGTGCTTTTCTCCCCTACATTTTAAGGACTGAAGACCATCGTGGGGGCCTTGATCCAGTCAGTGAAGAAGCTGTCTGACGTCATGATCCTCACTGTGTTCTGTCTCAGTGTTTTTGCACTAATTGGACTACAGCTGTTTATGGGAAACCTGAAGCATAAATGTCTCAGGAAGGAACTCGAAGAGAACGAAACATTAGAAAGCATCATGAATACCGTTGAGAGTGAAGAAGAACTGAAAAGTAAGAATGCCCCTGTAGTTGCTATCTACAGGGTAGAAATAACACCAAAAGTTCGACTCTCTTCTGACAATGCATGGGGGCTTGAATTTTTATTACTTTGAAGGTATTCTAATATACAATAAAAACTTGTCAGTATGTGAATTCTTGTCATTTTTAGAAGTAATATTATAAACATTTATTTTCCTTGGCTTTCTAGTGATTCTCTGTGTAGAAAGCTGGATTAGATCAATAACAATGAATTTCTACATGATGAAGAGTCAAGTTGCTAGGAACTAAGCGTGACTCACACTAATCATTAGATCTATGTATACAATATGGATTTTGTTCTATAATTTTATTTTTATAAAGACTAATTATATAATGTAATGGGCAATGCAATTCTATTTGTATTTAGATTAGACTTAAGAACTATAATATCTTATAGCTAAATTAGTGGTAATAATGATAGAACTATCGCTATTAAGATATATATCTATTGATAATAATTATGTAGTGTTTGATAAAACAAGACAACTTAGTTTTATCAACACCATTCTTATAATAATATTTTATCCACATGAATTTTATAAATAATGATAAATTTGAAAGACTTTGTAGCACTTCTTGATAGTATCATTTATGATTGATGGAGTCGGCAAAGACTAATTCAGAGGACTCTCCCCCTTAGTAGAAGAAGATGTGTACAGAATCTCGGAATCTGCCAATACAAAGCATATGACAAACATCTCATAACACGCTCACTGCATGTTCTCTAATGGTTTCCCCTTAGACTGCTTTTCCCAGGGGCTATTGATGAACAAGAAGCAAAAATGAAGTCAGGTTGTATCCATCTTGACACCTGGATAGTGTCTGTGTGACAAGCCTAATTACCTTAGGGCATAAAATTCCAATCTGATCTCAGGATGAGGTAGAAAACAAAAAACCTTACCAGCTTACGTCCCTTTTGCCAAAACGAAATTGAAATTTCCTTGGTAGCAGGGAATTTACTTTCTACTTATTCTGGATGTTTTTAAATACTCACTGGTGAAGAAAAAGCAAACCAAGCCTATCTCAGATGGTGAAAGAGTGTAAGAAAAATGAAGTGCAGGTGGGGCTGATGGGAAGAAAAACAACATTTACGCAGTCAACTGTGTAGTATGTACCTCATTACTATCACAGTTTTCTACAAATATCATGTTTTCTTCCTTTTATCATTCTGGAATGTTCCAATTTCTGATTTTTGTAATCAATATTTCTAGAAAATATTATTTCTTAATATAATTTGGAGATTGAACTAGGACCTCTCACATACGTTAGGTAAAAGCACTACACACTGAGTTATATCCCTAGGCACACTGAAGAGCTACCATTCCAAATATATTTATTTGAAATGGAGTAGATGTTAGTTCTTGCTTACCAGCATATAGTTCAAAGCAATCTTGTTACTTAAAGAAGATGGCTGGACAGCTATGGCCTTTACAGTACAGTTATCTATTGTAGCCTATCCTATAATGAAGCCACTAGTCATGAATGCATTTACAAGTATGTTGAGCTAGGGAAGGAATATTCCCTGCAAATATATCCTTTTAGATGGTTATATGCCGGCATCTACTGGTAAAATTTAGATGACTACACTAAGGCTCAGTTGCCTATTGGCTGTGTACTTACATTTGTGTTGTTAGAATTCTTTATCTATATTGGTCATTATTAAAATAAAAGGTTGTCCATGGATGTGATGGGATGAGAATTATATTGCTAAATCCTCTGTTCCCTGGAGGATGACATTGTAAGTTACCAAAAAAAAAGCATGACATTTATCAAGGTTCCAGTACGGAATGACTGCATGGTTGTAGGCTACCAACAATTAAGAGATTAAAAATATACATTTGCTTCAGACTTTCCACTTTGATGCTGTGTTGTGCAAATTCTGATATAATTTAACTACAAAATCAATTACAGCTTTTTAATATTATTATATTTAGAAGAATCCAAATATGTGATTCTGAAAACCCAGCCCTAAAAGAAGGCAACATTTGCAAATTGAAGAGTTTTCTTTACATTTCCTACTTTCAACTTTTAAAAACATTTTGCTCTACTATGACATAAACAAGGTACACAGTGCAAAGTTTTTAAGAATGGAAACTTGGTATGAATTAGTGCTGACCATCTGAGGTAGCTAGACCCCAGTTCACGAGCTTTTGGGAAAGGGCTGGAGGTTGAGAATACTCACTCAGAGACAGACTGACACACAGACCTTCTAACACTGATACCAAAAATCCCTCTTTAATAGGACCATGGAGGCTTAAATACACTGCAGTCAATGGCCAACAGGTGAAAATCCCATCCTCTGATTCTCTAAGCTAGGCACAGCTCCTAGTAACTTAAATTAGAAGGTTCTAGCAGGGAAGGGCAGCTGAAGGCCAGACTCATTAGTCCCAACAGTCATGTACTTTGTTAAGTAATTGTTTTCTCTATTATATGGCGTAAAACTCTTAAATTACATTTTAAATATGATAATGGCAAATAAATATCCAACATGCATATATAATAAAACAATTGAAATTTTTTCTTCAAAAAAAAACATGAAAAAGCTTTATTGATATTTAATTATTTTATTAGATAAGATGTATTTTTATTATTTATTTTTTATTTTTTTCTCTGCTCCCTTCCTTTTTTCTCCCTTCCCCGTGATCCTCATGCTCCCAATTTACTCAGGAGATCTTGCCTTTTTCTACTTCCCATGTAGATTAGATCCATGAATGTCTCTCTTAGGGTCCTCATTGTCGTCTTGGTTCTCTGGGATTGTAAATTGTAGGCTGGTTTTCTTTGCTTTATGTCTAAAAGCCACTTATGAGTGAGTACATATGATATTTTAATTATTTTGCTTGATGTTGAGGTATGAATTTATAAAGTATAGTGATTTCATCGTCATTACAGCTGAAGAATCCTTATCTGTCTAATTAATGGAATGACAAATGCCCTGGTATCTTGGAAATTTATGTGATTTCTAAAACACATTTTAATAATTTGGCCATGAAGACAGAACTGAAAGGAAGCCTGAAATTATGTATTACCTGACAGCACTACTTGGGTACTTCATAAATCAACTCAGTTCTCTGTTTTCTTGCTTTAAGAACAGATGCCATTCTGAGATGACTAATGGGCCATTCTCTCAAGAAAAAAAATCAAGTTAAAATTAAAATAATAATAAATAAATGAATAATAATAATAATACAGCTAAATTCCAAGAAAGCACAGTTGCTTTCACTTAGTGAGTCAATCTAGATTTTAAAAGTTGAAAAGTTTTAGAAAAATATGTTACAAGTAATTCTCTTTTAATCTTCTCCAGTTCCATCACACATAAAATTTCTTTCACAAGGTCTGTTTTGTATGGGACCCGCCACGACCTTAAAAGCCCTTTAGCTATTTGTGCTGTTCTATTAGTAGTTTTCAGTCTGAAACAACTACCTGTTTTACTACAAGGCAAGAACAAAACATCCTCACACACCAAAGCTTTCTGCCGGGAGGGGACAAAATTTAATTTAACCATGTAGTGAAGCAATGTTTAAAAGACATTAGATAGAACATTAAAAAATTAAACTATGTGAGAAGTGAATTTAAATAAAACATTAGCACTAATGTACTCTAACTGAACCAAGAGCAAAAAAAAGAGAAAACATTTTTGTCATTGTGAATATTAAAAATAAAAGCAATGGCTCTGTAGTAGAGTAAAGCACATGACGCTTGCTCAGTTCTGAAAGCCTTACTCAGATAGCTCTGGAAATACAAACACACCTCAGGAGGGTCATAAGGAAGTGGAAGTGCCTTCTCAAGAAAGGCCAAAGACAAAGCATAAAGCATAACTACTTATAATATAAGGATAGGACAGAAATACATATGCATATTTTTTCAATATTATCTATTTCAAATGACCTATATTATATGAGAGCTTAATGTATGTTTATCTAAATATTATAAAAGGCAGCCATGTATCAAAAATTAAAAATATAAAACTCTAAGCAACAACCTCCTTTAATATTCTCTTTCTGCCAAGAAACTACATAGATGGCATTCACTAAAGCATATCAAAGCAGCCGGGTAAACTGGCCAAGTCTATACTCCCAGCATTTAGTAGGCAGAAGCAGGATTGCCTCAAACTCAAAGTCATCCTGGCCCATATACTGAGTGTCAGGCTCGTCAGGACTATATTAAACCACCAACCGCCTCACCCCACAGACAAAAACCCCAAACAGCCAAAGTGTAACGTGACCACTATCCCAGCACTTGGGAGATACAGACAGAAACATCAGGAGTTCAAGATTATCTTCAGAAAACAGAGTTTTAGGTGACTCTAAGGTATTTATGACACTGACTCAAAAACCAAAACCAAATCAGACCCTTAAAGTCAAAACAAAAATTAATAAACACGCATACATAAAAATTAAGAAATACATTTACTGCACAGGAAATAAAAATAAGTCTTTGTAATATGAGCATTATCATACTGAAATGGCACTGAGGTGTGGTGGCATTTCACTTGTATTTTAATAATAAAACATACCTGAGGATCAGAGGGTAAAATAGCCCCAGTGGTCAACCTTACTGACCAGGTAGTGGTAACACACACCTTTAATCCCAGTAGCCATACTAGTTTGCCATAGAAACTGGGTGATGCATGGCTTTAGTTCCAGTTCTAGAGAGAATTAGAAAACAGGAGGAAACAGCCTTCATTCTCAGTCTCATTCTGAGATTCCTGCAGGCCGGACTGCCATTTTCGGACTGAGGGTGTGGTAATAGCTAATGGCTGACTGCTTTGCTTTACAGGTCTTCGGGTTGGTTTAATTTATTAAAATACAAGTGAAATGCCACTAAACTGAAGATCTTAAGGTACAAGCGTTAAAACAAAACTGTATTGGAACAATACATAAGGCTGTCTTCACTTTCCAAAACCTTGTGATCATTTTTATAACTACATACATTGGGCTTATGGCTTCCGATCTCTCAGGGTCTGGTCCTTGATTATAAAGGTTCCCAGCTGATGGTGGGCAGGACGTCTTAGCAGCAGAATCATGCTAGTCAGAGACGCTCAACTCTTAACTACCAGGAAGGAGAGTAATCTATAAGAGCAAGGGGAGAGAAGATACAACAGGACAAATCTCCAACCCCAATGACTTATTTCTTCAAATAAGCCCCACAGGCCACAGTTCTACCACCGTTCTACAGTCGGTTCAAGCTTTTAGTGCATCGATGAATTAAACCAGTCCTTAGGTCAGAGCCTCATTATCTAACTGTCTTTGGAAACACTTTGCAGCACACAAAGAAATGTGCTTAATCTCATAAGCATCCTTGATCACTCAGTAGTGTCGTGAACATGAAGTGTTTATATGTACATGTGTCTTCCTTTTTTGACGTAGACCAAATTTCATGTACCTCAGACTGGCACTGAATTCCCTATAAATATGACTTTGAACTTCCTTGAATAGAACCTTTAAAATAATTATCAAAAGCTGACTGTGTCTCTCTAAACCCCATCTTCATTACTGGTGCCTTACACACATTTCACCTGTCCCCAGAAACAGTTGCTACCTACTGTATCCCGTGCCTTCTTCATATCTAAGTATTCCAGAACCTGTTACTACATCCATGTTACTCCTCTATCAACATATATCTTACAGGGTGATCACAAAGGCACTTCAAACATCAGAGAATGGTTTCTTTGTCAAATTCCATCCCCTTAGAATTTCCTGGACACTGTTTTTCTTATTGTTTTGGTATGTTTTCATTAGATCAGTTATAACTCTCTACTTCTTTTTTAAGTTATGATTAAATTGGTTTAAATAAAATAAAATTCAGTTTATCTCAAGGTCTCAGAAGTTTTGGTCCATGGTTACTTAGCTTTGTCGTCTCTGAATTTGTGGTAAGGCAGAGCACTATGATAATAAGTCCAAAGACTTGTGCTTACTCATCTTGTGGGAACCAGGAGGCAGAAAGAGAAAGCGGGAGATGGAGGAAGAGACCAGGGACAGAATGTGTCCTTCAAGGGCATATCCCCCAGTGACTTACATTTTTGATCCACCTGTGCCTGACCTTCATAGTTAGTTCTCTGTTGCCTCCCAACATCCCATTGAGATTGGTTCCATAATGCATTGATCCATTCATGAGTTTGGAGCCATTTTAATTCAACCAATAACAACCCAAAGGCTCTAACTATGACTCTGTGCACTAAAGAACAAACCTTCAACTCTAGAGTCCTGACGGTAACAATGAAGACACAAACCAGCCACTATCTGGGATTGCTACACATATTTACTTGTTAATTGCTTTCCTACATACACTAACATCCATATGCACCAGATTAAGGAAACTTCCCAGAGCTAGGCATTTTGTTTATCATTTCTGTCTTCATAATTATTCATAAAACTGGTCCATAAAATGTTATAAGTAGAATCTTTATCAATAACATATGAGAATATTAAAAGAATAAATGCTCATTACTGGGGATCAGACTTAGATGTTTGTGTACATGTCTATATTCATTAACTTACTTGCCTTATGACTCTTACTGATTACATCCTGTAATGCAATATTATTCAAATTCTTCCTAAACAGGATATTTTTATTACTTGGAGGGAACCAAAGATGCTCTCCTTTGTGGCTTCAGCACAGATTCTGGGTATGTAATATTTGCTTTGCTTTTAGTTAAAATGCTGCCAAAGAAAAATCTCACGCTCAATGAGTACTTTTGATTCGATATTACAATTTTCATAAATTTCATGGCATTGATTTTGCTCATTTTATCTAACAATAAACAGAAATTTTAAAAATGTTTATAGAATATGCATGCATTGGAAAGAAAGACCAATCATGAGATCAAGCTTGAATCAAAACAAAATAGCCATCATTAGAATTTTGGGATATACAAGAATACTTTCTAAAAGCCTATCAAAAATCGGTTGGCTAGTTTAAGGCCTTACTTCTTGGAAAGAAGAATAACAAAATCAATATCTCTTTCCATCTCAAAGCTCTCCACTGCCTAATTCAATATGATTCATAGGTAACTGAGTTTACTGCTCGGACCAACTTACAAAGGATCTTGCGGACTAGCTGTTTTCAGAATCTTCTGTTTATAAAACACCATTTTGATTTCTCCATACACCACCTTCAGTTTGCAGCAGAGATTTGTTCTTGTCCTGCTTGCCAGCAAGGGATCTCTTCATCGGGGTCTGGAAACTCTATGAACCTCGGAATCAACAGCTGCCCCTCCCACAAACGCTTCAGACACCGTGTTCATCTAAGGAGGTTAAAAACCAATCTGCCAGTTTTAGAAAGTAAAAAATTTTAAAGCCAAAATTTTTATGAACATTTTCAAATGTTGTATATGACTATTCCTGGCTTTAATTCACCACAAGAGTAACTTTCAAAGAAGCCATTTTTTTTTTTTTGCTATAGGCCTTCATAGCAAACCCTATTGATCTGAATTTATGAATATGTTGCTTATGAGATCTTCCATGTACTAAATGGCTCTATGGTCAGGGAGTGGGTTAATCGTGTTATTTAAATTCAAAGTCAATCTTAAATTCTTGAGGTAAGTTATTTCGCTAGTCCCCACTTGGAAGAAAGTGTATCTTTGAGAATGTAAGTAATCTGGCAAAATGGTCAACTAGTAAATAGTGATATGGGAAGCAATGGCCATTCTTTCTGACCCCAGGTTACAGTCTCTTAGTTGTTCTGCAGTTTTCAACCTCTACATTCAACCTTGAGGTTAACACTGTGTTATAGTGTTCCTTGTCTACACGCCAAACATATCCTGACCTGTAATTCCCATTTCTATCTGTAGCCAGTGTCCAGAAGGATACTACTGTGTGAAGGCTGGCAGAAACCCTGATTACGGCTACACGAGCTTTGATACTTTCAGCTGGGCCTTCTTGGCCTTGTTTCGGCTAATGACTCAGGATTACTGGGAGAACCTTTACCAGCAGGTGGGTACCAGCAGAATCAGTCGTCTCTGAAGGCAGTCAGTGTCCGGTGTACTTTGACTCTGCCTTGGGAGCTGTTGCGGTTGCTGTTCCTTTCATTTCATTTCTGTGGACAGTATGGGAATCCCGACATGTGTTTCTAACATTAGAGTTAATTTATCCTACTCGTATTAGAACAGATAGTTCTTAGATCCTAAATTAATTTTCTTCTATGTTCTGAGCAATGTTAATTTTTAGGTCTTCCTTAGTTTCCGACATGCCCTTAGGGTCCACCGTAAAGAGCAGAGAACATTGCAGTTTCTTGAGCTGTCTTTGCACACTCACCATTTCCTTCACATGCCTGGGCTGTCAGAATCCTGGAGAATCTCCTGTTCTATGCCTACCAGGCCCTCCTGGCCTGTGCCCACAGATTTTCCTATACTGTGCCCACTACACCTTAGTGTTGAGCCTTTATTTACAATTAAATACTCAGTTCTACTCCAAACCTTCCTCTCCCTTGTCAACTACTTCCTCTTTTGGATTCATGACCCTTAAATGTTCCTCAGCTTAAACATCAATCTGCCTATAGTGTTCATTCCCATGGCCATGCACTCTAGCCTAGATGTGAGGTGCTTGCCACATGGGCTTCTCTATGTGTATATTATATATTCTCATCGCCCAATCCCAAGAGGAAAGTAGTTGAAATGATAATTGTCTCATTTCATGTAAACATAAATTTCTTTTCTCAGAATTGTTATAAGTACTTCTTTTGGCATCTTTTATATTTAATTCTGTGACTATTATAAATGTTATAAAAACTATATAAAAATACCTTTTGTAGGAAAATAAAATTAATAGAAATAATTCAGAGGTAAAAGCAGAATCTTAGAATGCTGTACTGCTGGGCTCAGGTCCTCCCTTGTCATCCTCCAGAGTCTCCAGGGCCACCGTTATGGGACCACCATCGCAGTCCCCACCTTTATTAATATAGAAAAGAAGAGTATCTTAGCTCAAAGTTAAGGTCATGCAAAATAAAGGCATTGACATACAAATTTGCAAAGGGATGATTAAAGGTGGCCAAATTTAAGTTGAGATACGGAAGCTAGACTTTCTCATACATTGGTAGTAACCTTTGTAGAAAGTTAATGAAAATAAAAAGTTTCCAATGACCTAAAAGTTCCACTTTTATGAATTTATTCAAGATAAAAACAATAACAACAACAGAATGATAGAGTGGGGAATTGAATAAATATTAAGGATTCCAGAGGTATATAAGTTTCACTTATATCTCTATGCTATTTTGAATTTTTCTAAAAATGAAGCAAATGGCAGAATAAACTGCATTTAAAAATAAATAATTTTAATCATTAATCATTAATAATGGTGATACTAGATAAAAATAAATATCCATGGAGTCAACAAATAAATTTACTCATTAAAGCAATCTGTCTGCATCAAAATTTAAAATGATAATGATTTAAAAAGGAAAGGAGTAGAACTTGAACAATAAAGGGGGCTGTTTGAAAAATTAAAACACAGTATGAGAGCTAAAGTTACCAGTAATTTCAAAAATGTGAAAAATGAGGAAGTTATGCTCTATTTAATACTAATGATCAAACCTTAGTACCAGCCTGTTACATTGCTATACTTTTTATACTGATTAAGGCAAGTTTGTTTAATACTGATTGTCTTCAAATATATTGCTTTCATTTATATTTCTATAACATGATATTATACAAAGTATTTGATTTGCATGTTCTTTATCTATCAAGCACAATGAAAAAATTTAGTAAAATTTTTGCATTATTAAAATAACAATTTCCTTTTCTACCCCCAGACTCTACGTGCTGCTGGCAAAACCTACATGATTTTCTTTGTCGTGGTGATCTTCCTGGGCTCCTTTTATCTGATAAACTTGATCCTGGCTGTGGTAGCCATGGCCTATGAGGAACAGAACCAGGCCAACATCGAGGAAGCTAAACAGAAAGAATTAGAATTTCAGCAGATGTTAGACCGACTCAAGAAAGAGCAGGAAGAAGCCGAGGTAAGTGTTTGTCACTGCAAATATGAAGGCAAAGGGGAGACAAAGGTCCTTTCCATGTAGATTCTCCTCATTTTAGTAGACCATACTTGATGTTGACCAAAAACCAAGTAACAATTTCTGTTTTCTGTGTGAATCGCATCTTTTTATTTCTAAGGTACTTGAAGGTATGAGCTCTAAATAGAGCTAGAACAGGCACCTACCATAATAATCTCCCAGTTCCATAGCGGATGTTCTGAGATGTCACTTATAATTCTACCACCCAGAATGCATCAGCATGACAGCTTCTAAGAATATAAGGGTTGTGTCCATTCTCAGCAATAACAGCTTTTTCTTTGCAATTTCACGCACAGATAGCACATTCTGATTATTGCCATCCTAATCCTCTCTTACTTTCCTCTCACCCAATCACCCTGCAATCGCAACCTACAAGTCCCTTTCCTACAACTGTATCTTCTTTTCCTAACCTACTGAGTTTAATCAGGACAGTCACTGTCCATGGATTTGCTACTATTCCCTTGAGCCCCATGAGCTAACCAGTGGGTACGAGACTGAAAACAACGTCTGCCTCTCCTCCAGAACCAATAAAAGCAACACATATACATAAGGCTGAAGGCCTCCTCCCTCATGGTTTTTACACTTAGTTGATAGGAGCAGGCAAGGATTCCATCTTGTGAAGTGACCCTCATAATCGTAAGAAACTGTAACATGAACGTTAGTCAACAATTTAGAGATTAAAAACAAATGCTCATTAACTTTTGCTAATGTTATAAACTTTCAGATTAAGATAGCCACAATAATGATTGTGATCACTTCTGAGTAAGGCACAGTGCATGCTAGCTTTCTCTGCAAAGGCTTTAGTATTTCAGCTGTACAGCTGTTTAGTAAATGCTTTAAAACCTGCCGCGTGATTTGGTATAGTTAACCTCTCGAATGGCTGTAACACTAGCCAGGCCAATAATCTGTGATACTGATGTACAGGTATATGGAGTGCCACATATATTTAACATTAAAATGGTAAAGTTAAGAAATATAACACATTTTCAAACTGTCCAAAAATGTATAATAGGATTATATCTTTGTGTCTTGACATTGTACTCATATATAAAATTATACATTTTTTGCAAAAATTTTGTAATGAGGAAAATGTTGATAAACTAATAGTGGGTATAATGATAGACAGGATCCAATCACAATTTAACTGTTAGACTAATACATAAATGACTTGGAGAAGTATAACCACAACTCCTTTCTGAGGGTAAGACTGAAGGCATTTTTTCTATTTTTCCTTTACGTCTTTACATCTAGTTTCCTTAAATGATTTTCCTTTAGTCTTGAGAATTTCATACACATATACAATGAACTAGTCACATCCACTCAAACCTATAAATCTCATTTTCTTCTTCTCTAATGCTCCCAAGCTACCTCTCCCAATTTCAAGTCAATTTTTTGACAACCCTCTAAGTCAGATTAGTACTTCCCATAAGTGCTTGATTATGGGCTCATCCCCTGGACTATGGGGAAACTACCAATGGCCATACACACAAAGAAACAAATGATTCTCCCTGTCCCTGGTGCCCCAACTGCCAGTAGCACTTCCATAAGGGGCATGGCCCAGAGAGTACCTTCCTCATTCTTCCTGAATTTCGGTTAGCTTGCTCTTGTACAGGTCTCACGCAGGTAGCCTCAGTAGCTCTGAGTTCTTGAGTGTGATAGAGCCACATTGTGCCCAGAAGTCAACATTTCAAAGCTTTAATCCCTATACTCTGGCTCTTGCCTTATTGTTGCTTCCTTTTCTGTGGTATTCCCTGAGCCTGGCTGGGTGTAAGGAGAGAGGCTGATAGATGCCCCATTTAGAGCTGAACACTCAGTTTCTTGTACTTAGTACTTAGAACAACCATGCATTCCTGCATTAATTGTTTCCCCCTGCAAAAAATAAACTTCTATTACCACGGCTGAGGACAGTCCAAATTATGTGGGTATTGACATAAATACTTAGAAGACAACTTAGCCACGTGTCATTTATCAAAATAACTGGGGAAGTCATAAATCATAGGATAAAACCCAAATGGAATTCTTATTTTATGTTTATAAAGCTATTTATTTATTTGTTTGTTTGTTTGTTTGTTTATTAGTGAGGTGGGATAGCTACCTTCTCTCCCTGATAATTCAGTTTCGAGATTTCATCAATCCCTTAAGATAAGAATCATTGACCTTATAATTTTTCTTGACACTTTATTTCCTTATTAACTTATTTCTATTTTCAGACATGCCACTCTCTCTAAGCTATGGGGTTCCTGATTCCATGGGTCACCCTTGCTTACCTGATCTTCAAATTCATTATCTTAGCACACACTTTGTGTGAGTTTTATATCGCAAAAGTACCTGCAAACTTCGACACACAGTACTTCAATTTACTTAATTCTAAGGAAGCTTACAACCTGAAAGAGTTGCATTACAAAGGTACTGAAACTTTATTATAATACGTGAGAGGAGAGACTATGCCTCACATGCTCATTGGTTGTAATGCAACACAACACAGGTTACTTCCTAGACAAAATTTGTAACTGAATGCCCAGGCTGGGTACCCTGAGACTTTGTTTTTTTGTTTTTTTTTTTTTCAAGATTTGGAAATTACTTAAATGCTGGGATTGTCTTGGTTCAACAGGCCATTGCTGCAGCTGCAGCTGAGTACACGAGTATTGGGCGGAGCAGGATGACGGGTCTGTCGGAGAGCTCTTCAGAAACCTCTCGGCTGAGCTCCAAGAGTGCCAAGGAGAGACGAAACAGAAGAAAGAAAAAGAACCAGAAGAAGATCTCTGGTGGCGAGGAAAAGGGCGACGACGAGAAACTGTCCAAGTCGGGATCGGAGGAAAGTATCAGAAAGAAAAGCTTCCATCTAGGTGTGGAAGGACATCACCGCTCCCGGGAGAAGAGGCTGTCCACCCCGAACCAGGTACTGCCGGCGCCACCAGGCGAGGCTGCACAGCCAAAAGCCAGTGCAAGGCTTAACACTGGGGTCAGGGTCCAAGAGAGGAAGGGGACTTCACCATCACATTTTACCTAAAATGCTGCCTTTGGCTGGGAGTTTATGGAAAGAAGAGAGATGTATAGGTTTCTCAATTAAGTTGCCATTTTCATTTTCATAAAAAGCTATTGTTTCAGAATTGCTGTATCTTCCTTAAGAAGCATTTTTCTAAAATAAAATGTTTCTGTAAACTACTATAGGAATGAAGAATGGTGTTTACAACACAGATTAATTCTTATGGTTGTATTTTGTCAATGTTTTTAATACCTCACTCCTGATAAGAACAAGAGGAGAGAAGAAGAAAAGTGGGAGAGGGAGGGAGAGAAAGAAAAAGGGAGGGAGGGAGAGAAAGAGGGAGGGAGGAAGAGAAGAAAAGAGAGAGGGAGGGAAAGCCATAATATAATCCTAAAAGTAGTTCGTCTATCTTTTTCTGTCCTGTAGATAAGCATGAACCAAAGTAGCAGGCAGCCAATTCTGAATTTTGTCCATTCTTTTGTTATCTTCCACTCCAAGCACAGAAGCTTCTGGTCGACAAATAAATGAATTTCTCTCTTGTGGATTTTCCCTCTCTCTATCTTGTTTTTCACACTGAAACCTCTACACTTGGGTTGGTTCCCCTGCAAGCCCATCAGATGAGCCATGGCTCCAGAGCTACCAAACATGTACACACTCTACAACCCCACCTCAACTGTTGTCAAGACAAATATATGCATAGGGGTTTGGTACTCTATTTGAATAAACACTGAAGATCAAGAACCACATCTTATGCCGATCACAGATAGCTTTGACTTGACCTTCTCAGCTTCCTTTACTTTCCTGGATTGCTCATTTCCCATAACAGAGATGCTCACTGTTACCTGAAGATTTTTACACCTTCCCTTCCTCTATTACTTTGTACACATTGTCCCCCTTTTATTTATTTCTTTTTCTTTTCAAACTCTCTGTATAGCCAAGAATGACCTTAAACTTCTGACCTCATCCCTTCTACTTCTCCAGTGCTGGCATAGTAGGTATTGGTCACCATGGCCAATGCAGTGCTGGGATTTGAACCGAATGCCTTATACAAACTAAGCGAGCATACTACCAAGTTAGCTATGTCCCCAGCCCAGTCTGCTTCTTACTGATAACTTTCTTCATTAATTTCTCCTGACACAGCGGCACCCCACCTTCCACTATTTAGCTCAAGTACCCCACCCTCATAATCCTACCCATCTTCCTCTGTTTTCTGCATCCCCTGATCTGGGGTTCCAGACATGGCCCGAGTTATCTGCCATTGTCATCTTAGCCACAGTTGGAAGTTTCCAGCTTCTGTTCCTCAGGTTCCTTAGACAGTCAGTCCTTGTCTGCAAACACGGCACAGGCTAGGATAGGCATCTAGAATCCTCATGGTACTGATGCAAGGAAAGACAGGAGGGAGTTTCGGCTTGTTCTGAGGCAGAGCCCTTCCTTGTCTTACTCATTTTCCACTGTTCCCAGTGCCTGCCACCTGTCTTTAAAATAGCCAGCACTAACGTTTATTGAATTTATTGCTTCTAAATAATCTATCCTGTGTTTTCATTTATGGAATCAGTTTACACTGCAGAGGAGTCATATGAAGGGGACGGCTTTCCACAGTTCCCTAGGGAGCAACTATCCGCCCCCCAAACCCAGAAGTCACAATACCCTGTCTCTTAATTTCCTTGACTACTATGTCCTCTAAAGCATACCCAACTAGCCTCCAGTCTATAAAATGATAGGTTCTCACACCTTATAGTGGATGAGTTTTAGTGCTAGAACTGGGCCAAGTCCTTTGCCAGGTTCTGGGAATAGATTCTTCTGATTGTTAGAGCCTTTTCTTTTTCTTCTCTCTCTCTCTCTCTCTCTCTCTCTCTCTCTCTCTCTCTCTCTCTCTCTCTCTCTCGAATTGATCTTTTTGTTGAATCGCTTTTCTTTTAAATACGATTCTTTTAAACAAGCGCAGCATCGCTGGTCTCAGGCTAACGATTTGGTGGTAATTTCACGAAGTCTGCTTTTTTGTTTGTTTGTTTGTTTTTCGAGACAGGGTTTCTCTGTAGATTTGGTGCCTGTCCCGGAACTAGCAGTTGTAGACCAGGCTGGCCTCGAACTCCCAGAGATCCGCCTGCCTCTGCCTCCCGAGTGCTGGGATTAAAGGCGTGTGCCACCAACCGCCCGGCTTAGAAGTCTGCTCTTATTTGGAGCTCCAGCATACATTTTCTGTCTTGTTTTTTCCACAGTCACCACTCAGCATTCGCGGCTCCTTGTTTTCTGCACGGCGCAGCAGCCGAACGAGTCTCTTCAGTTTCAAGGGTCGAGGAAGAGATCTTGGATCTGAGACAGAGTTCGCCGATGACGAGCATAGCATTTTTGGAGACAACGAGAGCAGACGGGGTTCACTATTTGTGCCTCACAGGCCTCGGGAGCGACGAAGCAGTAACATCAGCCAGGCCAGTAGGTCCCCACAAATGCTGTCGGTGAACGGAAAGATGCACAGTGCGGTGGATTGCAATGGCGTGGTGTCGCTTGTTGACGGACCTACAGCCCTCATGGTCCCCAATGGACAGCTTCTTCCAGAGGTGATAATAGATAAGGCAACTTCCGACGACAGTGTAAGGATGTTTTCCATAGCTCAGGCATGCCTGGGCAATTACTCGTGCATCAGTCAGGGGGGTCTGCTCTCTAGCCTGTGAATGGCTCTGCGTTTGGGGATGCCTTCTCTGTGAAAACACGGCTTTAATTCATAACTCAGTCCCCACGAGTTAGGTGCTGCAACCACCCAATTAAAAGATATTTTATGGGGCTAGAGAGATGGCTCAATGAGTAAGGGCCCTTGGCACAGCATGGGAGTCAGGCAACTCACGAAAGTAACCACTGTACAACTCTGGCTCCAAGGTTTCTGGATCCCTCTCCTGGCAGCCGTGGGTACTGCATTCACAAGTGCATAACAACTTAGACACAGATACACATAATTACAAACTTATACATAAATCTTACGTTAACAATGATATTTTATGTCCCATGTTGGTAAAAGGATACATTTACTTATATTTGTGTTAAGATTACAGGCTGAAACCCATCACTTTAGAGAACATTTATGCCTACAACATATAGAGTAGGTTGAACTTATTAGTAGGCAAGCCTCACTTCTGTAAAGAAACAAGGATTCCTTGCCATCTACTTCTGTTTATTTCAGGTCAGTTAATATATATTTATTGCAAGGGATTCTTACTTGAGTTGTTAATAACAAGAGTAACAACAGCAAACATACTCTTTAGCTTTTTAAACATCTGTATGAGAATATATAGTATTGTCAGCACAAACAGGAGAAATAAGCCAGAATATTCTCATGTGATCATAGTTCAGGAGCAGCTCCAACATTTCCACAAAGGCCATGTGTTCTAAAGGTATGAGGTATGTTCTTAACATCCATCCTCACTGATTTTTCTGGTTCCTGGGGTTTCCAGGATGTAGATTTTGCACACTGATTATGTTGTGGTGCCTTAACAAATAGCAAGAGCTGTCGTTAATCCAGCAAGTTTGCATCATAGACAACACGCCTGTATGCTTTGTGCTAGCAAACTGAGTAGTATTTGAAGGGAGAATAAAATTCCATCAAAGTCATGGCCACACACACTTTAAACACAGTTTGAAAAAAGTGCATGTGCTCTGTGGTGACTTTGAAATGTCTATGCTTGCATGATACGGCTTAAGCCTTTCTGTTAAGCTGGTGTTTCCTTGTGAAGTAGCATGCTACCTTTCTATGAAATGACACCTAAGCTTTAGATTCCAATGATGTTTGTAATCTGTTAAATGCTATGCAATTTATGACATATTTGCAGGTATTTAACATTTTTTTAAAAAGTATTTTATTTAAGAATTGACTTTTTACCAGAGGAAAATCAAAACCACAAAACTAAAGAGCTAAGTTTATGAAACCTGAAGATTTGACCATCATAGAAGTCCCACATAATGCACAGTTTACATGTGCACACCTACTATTGCATGACAAACAATAAAATCTGTATGATATAGACATGCCCATGTGAAAAAGAGTTGGTATAGGCAAACTCTTTTTTATTTGGAGGAAGAAGAGAGAATGGCAGAGAAAACATGGCATGACATGCCCATACACATATATACAAGTGTGATTATGTATGCACAGCTATATTTTGATATTTCATATATACATGACTATATACAATTTTGCATTATTTTAATTATATAATAATATGACCTATTAACATACATATGTATATTATACATATATTGATATATACGTGTGTTGGTAAAATTTTTTACTATCTATCACATAGCACATATAAGCTAATACCTGGTGCTGTAGGATTGTATAATTCTCTCCTTTTTTGGCTTTCTGAAACAAGATATTTTGAAACAAGTTTTTGGGATTTAATTGTTTAACCGATTTTTTTGTTTTTTGGTTTTTTTTTTTTTTTGTTTTTTTGTTTGTTTGTTTTGGTTTTTCAAGACAGGGCTTCTCTGGGTAGCTTTGGTGCCTGTCCTGGAACTAGCTCTTCTAGTCCAGGCTGGTCTCAAACTCACAGAGATCTGCCTGCCTCTGCCTCCCAAGTACTGGGATTAAAGGCGTGCGCCACCACCACTGGCTGAATATATGTGTGTGTGTGTGTGTGTGTGTGTGTGTGTGTGTGTGTGTGTAATTTTTAGAAGACCAGTGCAGTATTTTTGTTTGTTTGTTTGTTTGTTAAGTCGGGTGGCATGCTTGAAAAACAAGCATTTTCGCTTAAAGAAGAATATGCCCGGCATGCCTCCATTCAAATTACTGCATGTCAGTGGCTTTTAGGGCTGTGGTTTTTAGCATGTGTTCGCCTCTTTGAGGCAGAGTCTGTACTCTCCACGCTGCAAGTCTTGCCATCCGTCCGAAGTGTCGTTTTCAAACTGAGTCACTTAGCACTGTCCACCCAAAGGGTTATACAGTCTTCTTTCAGCAGGAAGAAAAAATTCCTGAAGTAGTTTTCATTAATGTTGGTATCCCAACAGACAATGGGAATAGCAATGATGGAAGTTAGTGTTTGACCCTGCCCCTTTTTCTTCACACACCTCTACAGCTCTTGTCTGGTTGTTGTTGCATATGATTTTTTTTTCTCGGTAGATATTGGATTAAGTTGGATTGCAGAGAGAACACAATAGTGCTGTAACAAGAACAGCTATTTCTTAACCCTGAAGCAAGTGTAGAAGGCAAGATCTCTCGCTAGATGCATTTTACTTGTGATAGAGGCATTAGGTAGCCTTCCTCTTGCAAATATCTAGCAAGCAGCAGGGTCACCGTTTGAATCTAGCAGTCTAATCTCTGTTTATAGGCATTCATTACAGCTACCCAAGCCGGATTCCGTTTCTACCTATGCTACATTAGACTTATGTTCTTAAGAAGGCAATCAGTCACCTTTCCTCCCCCTTCAGGGCACAACCAATCAAATGCACAAGAAAAGACTTTCCAGTTCTTATTTCCTGTCTGAGGACATGCTGAATGACCCACACCTCAGGCAGAGAGCCATGAGCAGAGCAAGCATTCTAACCAACACTGTAGAAGGTATGTGATTAAAAAAAAAATCTTAGCTTATGGGTTTTTAAATAAAATTAATATAAACTATGATCACCTCTAAAGAGATTTGTGAAATTATTAACAGTAACTGGAAGCATATTAAAGGTGAAAGGGAATAACTAAAAAAATGTTGATTTTTATGAAAGGGAAGTTAAAACCTCATGAGCATGTGAATTTATATGCCAGCGTATTCTATTAAACCTTTCAAAAGTGTTTCTTCATTCAAATAAGAAGAAGGTTACATTAATTAATAAACATCACCAAAATTTATGTATATTTAAGTACAGTATGAATTTTAGTTATACAAATAATTTATGCATAATATAAATGTAGTATTATATATGTAAATTTTTAATGAATGATGTCACTTTCATGCAAAAAATAATATTTTATCAATAGTAATGATAACCATGTGCTGAGAAGGTGAATGGGCACATAGATATGTGTGTATTTGTATGCTGACATTGAAAATATTCCTCTATTGTTCGCCATATAACTTGGGGGACAGGGAGTCTCTCACTGAACCTGGACATCACTGATTCAACCAGACTAGCTGACCACCAAATCTAATGGTTCTCCTGCCTCCACCTCCCCAGTGTTGGGATTACAAGCATGAACTTTAGTGCCCAGCTTTTTGTGTAGGTTTTAGGGATCAGAATTCAGGTCCTCATGACATGGCAAGAACTTGACCATCCGAGCCTTCTCCTCAACTAGTGTATATTTAGCTGTGAGGTCCCATATGTATTTGGTCGTTAATACCTTTTTTCTTCTTCAACTCACTTGTACTTGTAGTACAAGACTTTTATGTAATCTTCTGGGCTTTCAAAGAAATAGCACTTTTATACAAAATTTAAACCATGACAAGTGTTTGAATATTAGATTTTATTGATGATTTCTAGTTGATAGTGTATAACCTACGCGACGAGTGATTTCATGTTTGTCATTTTTTTCCAGAACTTGAAGAGTCTAGACAAAAATGTCCACCATGGTGGTACAGATTTGCTCACACATTTTTGATCTGGAATTGCTCTCCATATTGGATAAAATTCAAGAAGTTCATCCATTTTATTGTTATGGATCCTTTTGTAGATCTTGCCATTACCATTTGCATAGTTCTAAACACATTGTTTATGGCTATGGAGCACCACCCAATGACTGACGAATTCAAAAATGTACTTGCTGTAGGGAATCTGGTGAGTTGTGTCCCCACAATCTTCTCCCTTGAGGTGTCATCTTGCCATTTCCTTCTGGTTTTTAAACCTGTGGGTCTACAGCTAATTATGCAGACATTGAACTTACCATATGAATCCAGCTACAATATCAACCTTCTGATATTTATATACTATTTTAAGATACTTTTACCAGTAGTGTTGGTTTCCATAAATAACAATATTATTTTCATATGTGTTAGCATTTCAGGACTTACAATGTCTTTTAACTGCCAAAATGCCTAAAAAAAACATTTTAAAGTTTTAAATGTTTTTTAAAATGCATTTTATAATTACATTGCTCTTCCTGAATAGTCAACATTTTTTGAACTACTTTGGGTGTATTGTTCTGAATTAATGCTGGTGAGGTGTCCAGACCTTTATAATTTCAAAGACCTCTGCTTGAACCCAGATTTAATCTCTTATTAATTATGTTCTTGAACAAATTCCAGAGTTTCTGCATTAGGTTTTTTCTTCTTTTCTTATTTTTTAGGCAAAAGGCAGAAGTATGTGCTTTCTAATTTCTGATGGAGTCCTAGGTCATGGAAATCAGTGTTTCTTTCTGAGTTTATTATAACACATGAACTCAAAGATCAACCTTTTCTCCTGTCTAACAACACAACACCAAGTGGAGAACTCCCTGCTATTGCTCTTATAATCCTTTTTTTTTTTAATGGTCTTACCACTTCCCTTTGAACCATTTTTGTTCAGCTAAATTCTTTGAGGCAAACTGTGCCACAAGAAAGCCTAAGCAAAACTTTTTATGTTATATCTTTGAGTTTTGAGTCCTGTGTCATGAATTAATTGTTTTTAATAATACACTTTGCACATCAGTGCTTTAGGTATCTAACTTTATCTGCCCCGTGTAGGTTAAACACTTTTCTTCTGCCCTTGTAAACCTTTAAATGTTGAGTCACATGTTCTTTATGACTCTGTGAGCAGAAAGTATAAAAAGGAGAGAGGATCAAAATTTCAATATCTGAGTAGATATGATAGATAAATAGATATATGATATAGAGATGACCAAATATGTAAGTGATAGATACACAAATAAATAGATGATTAGATAGAGACATAGTAGATAGATGATAGATAGAAAATAGAGTAAATGATAGGTAAATAAGCAATAATTATAAGATAGATAATAGATATAGATGATAAATGATGGAGAGATAGATAGATAGATAGATAGATAGATAGATAGATAGATAGATAGACAGACAGACAGACAGACAGACAGACAGACAGATAGATAGATAGATAGATAGATAGATAGATAGACAGACAGATGTAGTAACAGAATTATTAGGCAATTATCAAAAGCTCATGTCTCTGAAATTTTAAAAGATCCTTTTAAATGCTGTCTCTAATGATGAAAACTGACATGATAACTAGAACTTTATAAGTTTTCAATCTTTATATAAAAATTATAAGAAATATATGCCTTGCTTATAGAAAGAAACGAGAGAATTGCCACTTTTGAAGTGTCTAGCACATTGTATGGAACACAGTCACTACTTAGCTAATAGTCATTGTCACCATCAAGATGAATTTACTTTCCAATAACAGAAAAAATGTTGTATTTCATTTAGATCTTCACAGGGATCTTTGCAGCTGAAATGGTACTGAAGTTAATAGCCATGGATCCTTATGAGTATTTCCAAGTAGGGTGGAATATTTTTGACAGTCTAATTGTGACATTGAGTTTGGTAGAGCTTTTCCTCGCAGATGTGGAAGGATTATCAGTCCTGAGATCATTCCGATTGGTAAGTAGAAGCTAAAGATACTGCTGCATTCTGTAAGGAAGGGATATCATGTTTGTTAGGGATTTCATTTGTTTTTTAATCCACATTATTATTATTTAAAAATTTTACAAGTTGAATCAAAGGCAATATCAAATCTTACTCTTAGCAAAATAAAATTCATTCATTTACAAATAAACTTAAAGGATTAGAAGCTCATGTTTAATTAGGAACTTGAAATTATGTCCAGTTCTGTCTATGATGTATTCTAATATGATAGGAAAACTTTTAATCTAATATATAATGATACAATTCACAGTAAGAAGATTATGATTCGCAGCGATTTATGCATAATATGTCCATAGCTTTATGGGTTTAGTAATTAAAGTTTAAATCATTATCACGCAAACAACTGTGCAGTCTAAAAAATATTAAAAGCATTAGAAAGTAAAATTAAGATTGAGCTACCAATTCTAAAAGAACAAATACTATGCAAATAAGTTGCTTTCAGAATCATCAATGAAAACTACAACACTTTTTTCATAATATGCACTGTCATTATTATGGTAATAAGAAACAACAGAAATATTAAAAGACAGATAAAACAAACTATGGCCTTCAGCTAGACAATAATAACATGGAATATAGATTACAACATATACTAAAAACAAAAATCAAGAGTAGAAACATTGAAAGCTGTTTTATAATTAATTCTAAATTTTGTTTTTAGCTACGAGTCTTCAAGTTGGCAAAATCCTGGCCCACACTGAATATGCTCATCAAGATCATTGGCAACTCGGTGGGCGCCCTGGGCAACCTGACCCTGGTGTTGGCCATCATTGTCTTCATCTTCGCCGTGGTCGGCATGCAGCTGTTTGGAAAGAGCTACAAGGAGTGCGTTTGCAAGATCAATGAGGATTGCACACTCCCGCGCTGGCACATGAATGACTTCTTCCACTCCTTCCTGATCGTGTTCCGGGTGCTGTGTGGAGAGTGGATAGAGACCATGTGGGACTGCATGGAGGTCGCTGGCCAGACCATGTGTCTTATTGTTTACATGATGGTCATGGTGATTGGCAACCTTGTGGTATGTAAGAGCTATTCATATACTTAAATTTTCTATTACAATTATTTTCAGATGTTATTTTTGTCATTTTAAACTTTACTTTATAAACAAAATAATATCTTTAATCCCCTTCACCAGAAAAACCTATATTTATATTTTTTAAACTAACCTCCTAGAAAAAGTCCTACATTATTCTCTCATTTTTGATGGCTTTGTCATACAAATTAAGTCCTCTAACCTTTTAAAACATGAACTGTCTTCAAATATGAAGCTATAGTGGTAAATAATACATGATTAAATTAATGATACCAAGCTAATGGAGCAAGGCCAAAGAGAATATTGGTTATAGGGCCTCAATTCACAAAACTAGCAGCTGGACCAACCTCAGAGTTCTTGCCCCTTCTGACCCATTGACTTAAAAATGGTTTCCATATTGCACAGTGATTACAAAGAATAAATAAAGAGTAGTTTATGCCATATATACATCATGTGAAGTTCAAATTTTAGTGTCCATGCAAAGTTTTATATAAACATGGATATATTCATATGTGTTCTTAATAAAATACTAAAAAGATAACAATTTAAAAGTACCTAAAAGTACTTAGCAAATACAAAAAATTGTTTTCTATGATTCTGTGTCATCCAGGCTTTTTATTCCTGTAACAGACACCTGGCATAAATGTTTAAAAATTGCTATCCATAATGGCAAGGCAACATGTGGAGCCTAGCAGCTCATGGGATGTCAGCCAGGAAGCAGAGAGCACTTTTAGGCTGTAATCTTTCTTCTCTTTTCCAATCTATTCCATTTCTCCCGGCCTATGTAAAAATATGAGGTAGATAATTTGGGCTTGAAGACACTTAATATTTAATTGTAGCTCAGTTTTGTTTGTGACTCGCATTTAAAACTTTTAAATATACATACAATTTACATGTCTTCCGCCCTTGGTAAAAATCTAAAACTTGAAATTCACTTGGATACATAATTCAGAAGTAAAGGCAGGAATGAATTGCTTTCAAAAAAAGACCTTGCCCTGACCTCGTTGGCCACTTCTTCCAGGACCTAAGTGATGCTCAATAAAGTCAGCCAATCAGTTTCATTGTCTTGTATGAATTGTGTTCAATGTGTTTAAATCTTGACCTGAATGGTCAGGTACAATGAATGACAGTATAGTGGCAATAGTCTAATTTTCTTGCACACGTTGCTTCCCATGAAAGTAAGTTAAAAGAACGTTTGGGATCCATTAAAGGAATTTGGCTAGCTCACATGACTGAACAAAAACAAAATGGATAAATGACATGATGATCATGATGGGGGATGATTATCTGCTCTCGTGACAATTCCACAGGAGCATTGCGACCCTCTGCTGCCCAAGCCCCCATGTCTGTATGCGGAGAGAGTTCTGACAAAAGCATTAAAAGGTGCTTCACTTTTTTGTCATTGTGGGTTTGTATTGTGACCTATATTTCTGAAAAGTGTACTTCTTTGTATTTCCTGTGTCCCTCTCCCCCCTCCCCCATCTACCCTGCTGTAGGTCTTGAACCTGTTTCTGGCATTATTACTGAGCTCCTTTAGTTCTGACAATCTTACAGCAATTGAAGAAGATACCGATGCAAACAACCTCCAGATAGCAGTGGCCAGGATCAAAAGAGGAATCAATTATGTGAAACGGACCCTACGTGAATTTCTCCTAAAATCGTTCTCCAAAAAACCAAAGGGTCCCAAGGACACAAAGCGAGCAGTAGATCCAAACAACAGAAAAGACAACTATATCTCAAATCGGACACTCGCTGAGATGAGCAAAGATCACAATTTCCACAAAGAAAAGGATAAACTGAGTGGTTTTGGGAGCAGTGTAGACAAAAGCTTTGTGGATGATAATGACTACCAGCCCTTCATTCACAATCCCAGCCTCACGGTGACTGTGCCAATTGCACCTGGGGAATCTGATTTGGAAAACATGAACACTGAAGAACTTAGCAGTGACTCAGATAGCGACTACAGCAAAGAGGTAAGGTCACCTTACATAGATTGTTGCCCTAGCAGTTGGCAGATGAACTAATATTTGAGATGTCTGGTGTTCTCTGGCCTAACGTTGGATATGCCGAGAGAGAGACTGTGTGTGTGTGTGTCATTCCAAACAGCTTGCTGACTGCTTGGATAATATTTTCTTGCTCATTTTTTTTAATAATTGATTTAATCCAGTTTAATTAACAGCTGACTTTCCCATCCTCCATCGCCTTCTTGTGGCCACAGCCTTCGTCTACACCCTAAGATTCCCTTGTCATCTCCATCACTCTTACCTGTACACTCCCTACCTGTCAATTCCAACTAGTCCCTCTGCCTCATGTCTCCTGTAATCTGTGTATGGAAACTAATTTCAGTTCAGTCCACTCCTAATCATGTGCTTCCCATGATAGAGTTTCTGAAGTCTCCTGAAGTATGCATTACATGTAAGGTTTCACACTAAAGACTGAAGCAGCTCTGACCACCACTACTTCCTCCCAGTCTCATCCAAAGCCTCCTGAAAACAAGTAATTTTCCCTGTAAAGCATAAGCATTTTATATCTGTGTTACTTTGCTTGAGATTTCCTTCTGTGGAAAAACTCTGCGTGAATGTTTAAAATTTTAAATCTAAATTCTTCTATTAAGTCATTAGCTCCTAAATCCCAGCTCTCCAAACACTTACCTGTTGAGTTCTTCCTAATTTCTGCTCTAGCTGGCAGAAACTCATCTAATTTTTGAGTCCTATATAATTTTATGCCTCTCTCTTGATTTATTATTTAGATTTGAGTTCCTCCAGGAATTGTGCTGCACTGCGGAGAGAGAGAAGAATCTTACTTTCTTTCAGCCGTACAACGCTACTGTGTGGTTTATATTTTAACCAGCAAGTTAAAATATAAAGAGGTCTGGGTGAAGATATGTTAGGGATTTACTAAACCGTCTAGAGCTTCAGAAACACACGCAGGGACTCAGGTCATATTCCTGAACAGTTCTTGGCTCCAGAGTTCTGGATTCAAGATGTGGCCGAGCCAACTTCAATCTGAAAGGACTAGGGAAAAGACCCCACCAACGCTGCTGCTTCTACGCCATCTGGTGGTGGATAGCAATCTCGTTCAGGAGCAGCTCCACCGTCTACTTCTGCCATGATGTCTCTGTCTTCTGCCCTCTGTAATTACTCATGAGACCCAGAGTTTTCACCTCATCTAACAAGACTACATGTTGTTAAAGATTATTCCAAACAAAGGAACACCTGAAGGGGTTCAAAAAATACACCAAATTAGAGTATATGAAGTTTAAGGATAAGGAACTGTAAATATTTAACCATTTTCATATCTCAGTTTCATATATGTCAGTAAAACAAAGAAAAAAATTTAAAACTATTTTATTCTACAAGTATACAAGTATTATATTCATTTTAGTTGCCTAAACACTATGCAACTAAATAACATTATTTCATTCAGTACTTGAAATAATGTACAAAAGGGATTGAGTTTATTATTTTCTATGACTATGTACCCAGCATTCAGACAGGGATAATTATTTCTTTCATAAATTATAGTCATTAAATATTTTGACCCTTTTAAATATTTGATTTTCAAATTGACCTGAAAAGTTAATGTACACTAAGTAATCATTGATTAAAATAGTAATATCATTTTAATCTGACAGTTTGCAGTTGTGATAATATGCAGGCCATTGCAACCTAGGCAGACTAAACATATTCTATACCAGATCCTGTCATATCCCTTTGAGGGCCCCCAAAATAATTGATGTATGTCTTAAGGCTGGAGAAGGTGGTCCATGAGCCAAACCCTGGCACACAGGGGTAAATTCACTAGCCGACTGTGCCACAGAAGGAAATCGCAGGCCAACAAAGCGTTCATATCCCTTACCTCATCCTCCCATCTCCTCCACTCACTCATCTGTTCAGTATTTATTTCTGTAAATGTGAAAGCCATCATCTCTAAAGGAAACATGAGGTGATGAAATGCATGCACTTTATTGATCTGATAAAAAGTTACTTAAATTTTATATAATCAAAGTTAAATCTTTTATACCAACTTACCGTAATGGTTTTTAAATTGTTCTTGTTTGTATCTCTTTAGATTTTATCGAATTTTTTTTCGCATTCTTTCACTAAAGGGCAGTTTGTATTTTCACTTAGTATTGAACTTTGAAAAGTATTATCGTCCTCACCAGAAAAGCTCTTACTGGCTAAATTTCATTGTTTGTTAGTTCCTATGAGAGGGGTGATGGGCTTGACTCTGCTCTTTTCTCTTTAGGTTCCTGAAGGAAATCACTCTTCTAGAAAATTAGACTTTGATCATTTCTTTTTCTCAGTTTCAAACTCTTTGAAAAATCTTTCCAGCTTTATTGGACAATGAAATTTTTGTCTGGCTGGGCGGTGGTGGTGCACGCCTTTAATCCCAGCACTCGGGAGGCAGAGGCAGGCGGATCTCTGTGAGTTCGAGACCAGCCTGGTCTACAGAGCTAGTTCCAGGACAGGCTCCAAAGCCACAGAGAAACCCTGTCTCGAAAAACCAAAAAAAAAAAAAAAAAAAAAAAAAAAAAAAAAAGAGAGAAAGAAAGAAATTTTTGTCTGAAATATCTAACTTTCATAGGTTTGGAGTATTACTTCCCCGCTGTGATGTCTAAACTCTTGAAGCTAGTTAAACATGACAACTAAAAGTTAGTGGTGAAATGCTTACTTTAGAGTATTTTTCCCACATTACATACTATTACTCTCACCCAGCCCGCAGTGTATATAATCTATTTTCAAAGCATTGCTTGTATTGAAGGGCAAATAAAAAAATTGCTTAGTATATAATAGTGTAAATGTTCATTGGCTGAATAAGAGAACTATAAAACTAAAGGATTGTTTTTATGTCTACTTCAGTGACATTTCATTTATTTTTTATTGTGTTTCAAATATAATACCTAATGGTGAGCCCACAGCATGTATTTCAGACAGAAGCTAAGTTTCTCCTTGCAGGTTTAAGCCCTTACGCACTTGACGTCACAGCTGACTGCTTCCCCATGCTGCCTTCCTCAGCTTCGGAACCTAACCTTCTCCCTTCTACAGGGGTAAAACCACAGTGGAACTCCCCAGGATGCAGCTCTGTGCTTTAACTACGCAGAGACACATGTGACCACTTTTACACAGGTTACCTAAAACCTCATACCTATACGATGTTTCTTCAGTGTCTTGCATGCTGCTCAGCTACAAAATCTTTCTGCCTGACCCATTGCAAGAAAATAGAAAAGCATACAATTGTTCCATCGACGAATCTACGTCACAGCATGTCACTGGGGTTATTCCATCGTTTTTTTTGTGACTTTCTTGATTACTTTTGGTATATCTTTCTTGTTCTGAACTGATTTCAAGTGCATGATCTATATGACGCTATGGGATGGATTATAAAAGTAAGATACCATAGTAAATGACCTTTTAAATCATATTTAACATAAACCCACTCTCAGCTTAAAAAATTGAGTATATTAACGGTTTTATTGAACTAAAATTTAATGGAGGAATATTTTAGACATTAACACTAAAATCATATAGAAAGGGACCATTTTTTCTAGCTCTGTATTCACAGATAGGAAATGAAGACTCAGCATTTCTGATTTCAGAGTGCATTTCCAGGAAAATAAGAGCACAGCTGACGAACCCAACATCTAAGTTTAAATTTTGAGTAATTTTGAAATGATTTGGCGAATATTACCACTTTATTTTTATAATCAATTCAGAACCTTAGATTAGACATGTTTATTCATTTTTAAACACAATCAAGTAAATGTTAATGAGCTATGCCTACCAAGGAGAAATAAATGTTTAAAACGTGTCATTTAATTCCAGAAGTAGTATCACCTACTGATAAAAATCCATTTCTGCTTCTACACAGAACTGCCTCTGCTTCTAGTTTAAAAAAAAAAAAAAAAAAAAAAAAAAAAGATAAGTGAGAACTTCAGCTCTGTTTCGCTGAGACAGAGACACTTTTGCTAAGGTTATGAACGATAACATAGGCTGCTTTATCTAAATTCTCTAATTTATATTTCAAAAATAAATTGCTTTGACATCAAGTAAAATTTTTTAGTTTTAGTATAATCTTTGAAAGACTGAGTAATAAAGCCATATTAAGAATCTTGCCTATTTTATAATCCAATTCATATTTTTACTTTCTCTGTCATGTTGAAATGTTCGTATTATTTGTTGTCCATTGTGCAGTGAAGAAAGCAAAAGTGTTATCCTGAAACAGTCACATTCTAGGAACAAGGACACTAACAATTTACAAGGAAAAAGAAAAAAAAATATAAACAAAAACTCTGATATTTTAGTGTCCTGTATATGTGAAGTTATTGTTTACAGTTAAAAGAAATAATTTCCTTTTCTCGATTGCTAGCGATTTGAATTCAATGATCTTAAAGAAAACTATTTCACAATGTAATAAGTATCCTTCAATTAGATCATGAATAAAATATGCATGTATAAAGCAGCACTTATATAGATATAGTAGAGCATCCAGTATTTCAAAAATTTTCAGAAACGCACTTACATGTACTTATATATGTACACATAAATATATATGTTGCTTACATATATGTTTATATTGTGAATTCATAAATTTTTGCCAAACTAATGTTATAGAAGATGCAGTACATATCAAGAAATTATATTCCTGGGGATGGAGAGGTGACTTGGTGGTTAAGAGTGCTTACTTCTCTTCTAGAGGGTCTCTGCTCAGTTCCAAGCACCCATGTCAGGTTTCTTAGAGCTGCCTACAACTCAACTTGGGGAATTCGATGCCCTTGTTCTGGTCTCAGAAAGCATTACATTAATATGCTAATACAGACACACTTAAATACCCATAGAATAATGGTTCAAGATGTTGACAAAGTAAAAGCAGAGCTTTTCACTTTCACAGGGTGACTTGAAATATGATGCTTTGAGGAAAGGCTGTATGAAGGTTAGGAAAAACATGTTTCATGAATGAAAACTTTGTATTTTACAATATTAGAAATTCTTATGTTGAGAAAACTGGTAATTATTCTTGTCTTTGGCATTTTCCCATCCTGATCTTCACTTAGAGGATGACGAAATTGTAAAAAAAGATACAAATCATTTGTTTTTTTTTCTTTCTGATTTGTTTTGCATTTAAGAACAATATATGAAACAGTTTGAGAGCCAGATAGTAGTGGCGCACGCCTTTAATCCCAGCACTCGGGAGGCAGAGGGAGGCAGATCTCTGTGAGTTCGAGGCCAGCCTGGTCTACAGAGCTAGTTCCAGGACAGACACCAACGCTACGGAGAAACCTTGTCTTGGGGGGGGGGGGGGAACAGTTTGAGGCTTTCAGTCTATACTTACACCTCACATTCAAATTTTCACCTTTGCTTAGCTTAAATCCTTGCCAACCCACTTGGAATTTCAACAGGTGTCAGTTGTGATAACATTTGCTAAATGCTTTTAGAATATTTTCTATCAATAGTCATCGTGGTCATTCTTTGATACCACACGGAAGCCTTGAAACTTTTATTAGGGAGAGCCCCTCCTTTTTTAGTTACTATAAAGTTTGAAGGCTTCACTACTACATTTAGAAAAGAAATATGCAGCCTTCAAACTCCTTATGTTTCCAAATGTTGCTTTTGTTTGTTCATGCTTTTAGCCAAAATCTCACCATTTAGTTGTATCAGTTGTTGTACATTGGATATAGAGTGGCCTTGTAGAAGATGCTGAGGGAAGTCACGACTCAGTAAGTTGTTGGCTTTCTTTTAAATCTTCTTGACAGTGGCTAAGGCTGCTTTTATGATTTCTTTAGCATCTGAAACTACTTGCCATGTAGACTGTGTGAGTTATTACTGCTAATAACTGAGTAGAAGTCTGATCCCTGGGATGTCAACAAATCTTTCTGATAGCAGAAATGAGGAAATCTTGAAAAGAAAATAATAAAACAAAAGGGATGCTTAGTAAAAGAAGAAGAATTTTGGTCGCTTATAATTAAGATGTAATGTATCATTTTGCTGCAATTTTGTTGTTGTTGTTTAAAACCAGTTCTTTCTTTTCAGTTTGCTTCTCTCGACCTTCTTGCTCTCCCTTCCTTCCCACTGTTTTCATAACAGGGTAAAATAAATTTTCTAGGCCTTGCTACATAAACAATATATCTTTCCTTGTGTGAGGCAAATAGATTCAAGATGTGTAATTATTCTAAATGTAGCATATATCTGGGATGCCTTCTGTGTCAGACGTACTCTGAGAAATGTTGTTGAGTTCTGCATTTTCTATAGTGCATGCTATGTATTTTCTGGTTTTCTGCTTTTGAGTGAAAGATTGTTGTCTTTAGATAGTCATACTTGGAAGTTTATGAATCAAGAAAGAATCAAGTAGCAGTGACTGTTTTCCATTGTATCGTGAAGTAGTCTTTTGGTGCTAATGCCTGTGTTAGGGTTTAAAAGTAATAAATGTGTCTGAAATTAACATAGGGAGGAATTTTTTTAATATGGTGAATATTTAACATGTCTTTCCTCACATTCAACATAATGAAAAACACAAAGGCAAATGAAAGAGAAAACTGTGAAATTTAATAAACCTTTTGGTTTTAACATATTTTCAATAATATAAGGGGATAGTTGTATAGTTGTGTAGCTATACAAGTTTAAAATGATGATAAAGATGCATTCCCAACCACTAAGTTAGATACACAGCAGTAGATAGATGATAGATAGATAGATAGATAGATAGATAGATAGATAGATAGATAGACAGGTAAATAGTGATAGACAGATAGAGATAGATAGATAGATGATAGATAGATAGATAGATAGATAGATAGGATAGAGATATAGATATATAGGTTTTACATTAGCTATTTCAATAGGGTTGTGTCAAGAAGGAAGTGGAGATGACTTGTATAATTCTGAATCAAGTGCATATTTCACAGAAGGAAAGAAATACTATTAAAATGCACTTGTAGTCAAGGCATAGAAGAAAGGAAGGCTAACTCTGGTAAGCTTTATAACTTATATTAATAGTGAAAGCCTAAACCTTGTAGAAATAGCATATACATTGAAATATTAATTTAATAAGATGTTTCTAATTCTTCACCCTGGTTATTAAAAAGACCACCAATAATCCATGCCTATATTACTAATGACTGATGTGTGATTATTATAACAATGCATTTAAAAAGAACTTCAATGTCCATCTTAAAATTGAATACTTTAAATAAAACCTATGATATTAATGCAAATTTATTGTCAAAAGAATCATTGAAATGGAGTATCTTTTTTCATCTTAGCACCTTAATGTGCTTAAACAATTCTCCCAAACTTAAATTATCGTCTTAATAAGGGAGTCACTGTCATGATAGGTGGTAGTTTTTCATTTTTATGTATCATTTAGAAAGCGAGGAGGAGAAATGAACTCTTCCATTGTGAGATGCTCTACCCCTTTATAAACCAATATTATGAATTTACCTGAGTTTTGCTGAAGTTACTGTATGTACTGTACCTGAAACCTTCTGTGTATGTGTGTATATGTGCAGACATACTACTCGATCATAAAGTTAGGGAGGGGAACTCGGCTACATTATGATCAGCAGAATGGTCATAATGACGAGTTCATTGCTCTCCTGTGTGAGTCTACTGTGTTTAAGTCCATTGACTTTTTGTTTCAGCATTTGCATGTGATGCTCCCTTAAGTAGCCACATCTTTTGCCTTCAAAAGAAATACTTTATGATCTCCTCCTCCATGCAATAAAATCTGAGATTAAGATGGGTGTTGGTAGGGTCTTTAACATTTGGATTCCAATACGGTTTACATTTTATATTTGTCTTGTTTAAAGACTTTCTATCTATAGCATCCTGCTACCTATTCTGTCCTAAAAGGAAATAGAGCATATTGGGATATTATTGTACAATTTTTAAAATCCCAGCTACTTAAAATCTTTTTCTGGCAACTATCAGCTCTGTCCTTTTAGTCATGTGGGACTGGCAACTTGTCACTTTTGTGTCGTGTTCCCCAGAGGTAAGTTTTCCCTAAAAAATAACTTCACATAAGTCCATAATAAACGCAATATTTATGGCAAATAATTTCTCAAATTTTAGCTAAAATAAAATGCTGTCTTCTGCCAGCTTTGTCCAAATGACTACTTACTGGCATTATGAGATTTATATTTCTGCAGGATGTGTAGATAGAACGATCAATTTTAGGTGTGCCATAGGGTAACTTGATCTCAACATGTGTTTCTATGTGGTCATCATGCTGTTAGACATTTTTCATGACACTTTGCATGACTGGTCATTAAATGAGGCTTAACTGTCATATTTGAACATTCAATAAATGACCTCTTTGGTTGGGGTGGTGAATTCCTTTTTTAGAGACGGAACCGATCCAGTTCCTCCGAGTGCAGCACAGTTGATAACCCTCTGCCAGAAGGAGAAGAAGCAGAAGCTGAGCCCGTAAATCCAGATGAGCCAGAGGCATGTTTTACGGATGGTAAGGGAAAAACTGAAAACTCTCACATTCACTATGTTTTGAAGTTTGTCTTAGTTTGTAATGCTGCAGGGGACTATTTGCAAAACAGGGATTTCCTATTCTTCCAACATGGCTTTCTTAGGAAGTACCCTATGGCATTAGTGAATTAAGCAAAGACACTGGGAAATAAAGGGATCTACACTACAGTGATACACACATTTTTAAAAATATATATTGAATTTATTTTATATGAGAAATAAAAGAGCATTATAACCTGTCAATATATATTGTGTTTACAGGAATTAGTGCTTTGAGTATTTTCATGAAGTTCTGTTAAGAGAGGTTAGGTTAAAAATATTTAACGTTTTCATTCTGTCAAACCAGCTGGTAGCTGTCTGCAATCCCAGTAATTGGGAGATGGTGGCAAAAGTATGGGGAAGTTGAGAGCTTAACTTCATGTAGCCTGGGTTACAGAAGAATTTGTCTTAGAACAAACCAAAACAAAAAAAAAATGCATCCAAATGTATGACTTCTGTCTTAACAAGTTTTTTAACAGCCTTGTAAAAATAATTTGTACAATTATTTGCTGTCAAGATTTCTCCTGTATAGTTTAGGAATGACACTTACTTAAAATTTGAGTATAATTAGAATGAAATTGAACTAATCAAATAATTTAACTCTTTAAACGGGGGTAGCATTAGGCCCACAGGGAATATTTGTTGAGAAAGCCAACAGAAAAATCAAAGGAAGCAGAGAGATGCTAAATTAAATTGGTACTTTCACCAAAGATGGGTTGGGAGATTTGGTTTGTTTGCTAGTTTGTTTTATTTCTTTGTTTATTTTGCTGTTCATTGCTCAAATCTATTCATTCTTCTCTGATTCTTACTTTCACTTTACTGGTGCGTTTTATCAACTTGCTTTCTGTCTTTCTTTTGCTTCATTTTTTTCCCTCTCTTATGTCATGTCTTTCATTAGTTCTATGTGTGGCTTTATAATTCAAGTCTTTCTGCTCATTCCATAGGTGTCATGATGCTATTCACTGTTCTTAATGTCTTAGAAATCAATTCATTATAAATATGACCAACCAATTAATAATGGGTATGACATAATTTATGGTTGTACTTGCTCCTATACTCCTTTGGAGTTATTCAATTAGTAAATTATATCATCAGAATCTGAGTTAACGTGTAACTTCTTTTTTAAAAAATCATGAGTTTTCAGCTAATTTGGTAGGCGGAGCCAATTTATGTTCTTTTAAAAATATTCTCAGCTCATCAACTCTTTGTACAGATAACTCATTACCAATTCTCACTTTAGTATAGAATGGGCAACCCATTCAGTCTTTTATTTTCTTTATTTTGAGAGGAAATTGTGAATGAAACATTTGTTTTAAAACAAGTAGACGTTTTGAATGAGAGTACTAAAGAGCTTGTTCTCCTAATCAGTTTTAAATATTGATCATGCTGTAATATTCTTGGGCCATCTGTCTTTGGATAGTTTCTTTGTTATCGGGGATCATTGGTTTAACATGATGAAACCCAGCTTAGACTTTATGTAAGATATCATAAACCCCCCAAAAGACAAAGACTTGATGCTCTGGGACTCATTAGACTGTTTAGAGATTCTGTTGTGTTTACGTTTAATTGATAGTCATTCTAAAGAGAAGATGTGATAGCCTTACTAACCAGCGAGGCTGGAAGTCCCTGGGGATTTGCCTTTGCCTGAAAGTCAGGCAGGCGACTGAGCACTCCTGCCTCAAATAAAGAGAAATCTCTAGGGTCTGATAAACCCTAGGGGCAGTCTTTGTGAGGCTTTACCTCTGGCAAAACTTTCCTTACTTTTCTAATTACAATGCAGTGTGTTTTTATTTCTGTAGTTATAAAAAACAATGTTTCTTTCGATTTTGAGACTGGCAAAAATGCCTCCAACAAAGCAAAATCTTTATTATGGTTAACTTTCTCCTACAACAATTCTAGTCTTTAAGATAATTCTGGTTATTTATTTATTTTTCTATCAACTTGAACATTTTAATAAAATCTTAAACTCTGTAATAATGATTTTTCTGGCCCCTTTCATTCAGATTTACGTTCGCCTATCCATCACCTCTCCACTGTGGCCTCTTGGCTTTCCGTGAATACCATGTGGCACACCCTGTTTCCTCTTTCCACTAGTCCAGCAGTATTCAGATCAATGCTTAACAGCTTGTTGTCCAAGAGAAAAAAGGTGTGCTTGCACACAGCATTCTCATGGAGATTAGATTCATGTATATCTCTTTTAGTGTCCGCATTGTTGTCTAAGTTCTCTGGGATTGTGATTTGTAGGCTGGCTTTCTTTGCTTTATGTTTAAAAGTCACTTATGAATGAGCACATGTGATAATTGTCTTCCTGTGTCTGGGTTACCTTGCTCAAAATAATGTTTTCTAGTTCCATCCATTTTCCTGCAAAATTCAAGATGTTGTTACTTTTTTCTGCTGTGTAGTACTCCATTGTGTAAATGTACCACATTTTCCTTATCCATTCTTCAGTCGAGGGGCATTTAGATATCGCAAATCTCTTGTTGCTTTAGTTTCTTGTTCTTTCCCATTGACAAGGATACTTAGTGCATTATAACCTATAAGCTCAATGACTTTCAGTGTCTCTTCTACTTACTAGCAGCACACAGTGTTGAGGATATCAAGTTAAATGCCTCTCATTTTTTCCTTGTAATCCATCACTTACTCCTCAACCTCTATACTATATGATCTAATTCTCTGAGGCAGAATGAAATTGCGTCACAATCTGTCCAATTCCTCTAACCATGTATCTTTCACATGAGTCTCTAAAAATATCACTTTCATAATTGTGAACTGTTTTAATTCCCCCAAATGACTGCTTGTTGCACATTTGTAGGGGATCTCCTTTCAAGCTTTTGCTTTTATTGCAACAAAACTCTTTCTCCTACTGGTATCTTAATTCATTTTGGGCTTCTGCCTCTTCCAGCAAGCCTCTTACTACCTATTTTTCAAAACATAAACCAGATTATGTGGACTTCTGTTCTTCAAAAATGACATCTACGTGGCTGATGTTAGTTGTTTACCCATTTAATCATTAACTTCTGTGTTTATTTAACCTAAATAAGATCAAAATCTTATGGAAAAGAAACTATATGCAAGCACACACTAAAACACTTGATGGAAAAACGAATAAACAAGCCCAAATATTTTAAATAAAATTGCTGTTAGCAGAGAAAAATGTAGAGCTCAATAAAAATCAATAAAAAAATTGCTCTCAGTTTCTCATAGCAAGGTAATTTAATAAGGTAATCCCAAGTATTTTTTTACCCTAGAATAGATAAAACATATTTATCTGCATCTTCTAGTGACTTTTGCTTTTTTTATCTTTCTTTAAAGACTTCCCATTACTTTTCTCAATATTTTATCAGAATACCTTTTTTCAAAATGTTTTGTGCTTGTGTTTACTTTTGCTATTGAGTCAGGTTTTGATGTACACCAGGCTAGCATCAAATTCCGTATATTATCAAGGATGTCATTCAACTTCCTATCCTTTTGCAGAGATTGCATGTGTGCAGGCTCACCACCCCAACCTGTTTGCATGCAGTTCTGGGGACCAAACACCATACCAATTAAACGACACTCTCAGTCCCTCAAAAGTTTTAAACTGAGAAGTAGAATCATGTTGAATTACATTTTCTGTAAGCAACAAAAAGCCTTGAAATTAATTTTGCTTCAGTGTTAGGCTTGTTCCATTCATTCGCAAATTTCTCCGCTAAACGATCTAAATGGTGTGGGAGAAATCAAGACGTCAGAAAATCGCAGGTGACAATATATTCCGAATCGAAGAGAATTTGCAGATGCTAAACAATGCCGTCAGAGTTAGAAAATGAGAGAAGGTGGTATCTTGAGACATTAAAATGTAAAAATGATGGGATCGTGGGAGAGTGTTTCCCCTTGGTAATGGATTTCAAGCATCAGGGTGTTCTACACATGTCTTTCTTGCCAGGCTGTGTTCGGAGATTTCCATGCTGCCAAGTGAATGTAGACTCTGGGAAAGGGAAAGTCTGGTGGACCATCAGGAAGACCTGCTACAGGATAGTTGAACACAGCTGGTTCGAAAGCTTTATCGTTCTCATGATCTTGCTCAGCAGCGGAGCTCTGGTAGGTCGGCTACTCTCTGGATTCACAAAAACGATTATCTTTATATGCAAAAAGGAAAAGTAAGTATGGCAAGCTTTGCTGAAAATTAATCCTTAGACTTTCGTGAACATGGTTCATTCGCATTTCTTTCTTAGCATTATTGTCCAATGACTATATANGAAAGATGCCCCATGTTTCCTATGTCACTCTTTCAAAAAAGAATAGGATACCTAAAATGTATATTTCATTGGGACAGATTTTTTTATTTATACTTATATAGCCACTGACTTAAGATTTAGTTTATATTTTAGCTATGTGCTCCGTGTGCACGTGTGCATGTGTGAGAGTGTGACAAGATGCCACCCTACAGATGCCATAAAGGGACACCTGGTTCATTGAACTGGAGTTACAGATGATTGTGAGCCACCCACTGTGGGTGCTCTGAGCCAAATTTAGGCCCTCTGCCAGAGCAATGTGTTCTTGACCTCCAGCAGTCTCTGTAGCCCCAGAGGTACTGATCTTTGAGTGTTAATTTTGTATTCTGCAATGATGTTTGAAGTGCTTATCAGCTATCTGCAAGTGGGGATAATCTTACCTCTATTTCAAGGTTTCTCTTCTATTTCTTCTCTTGTCATATTGATCTAAGTGGTATTTATGACCCTATATTGTATAGGAATGGAGTTTGTGGGCTTGTATTCTTCCTGGTTCTGGTAGAAACACTTTGAGGTTTGCTCCATTTAGTGTGATGCTGACTCAAGGTTTGTAGTGCATAGTGTTTATCATGTTGAAGAATATTCCCTCCCTCCCTAGCCTTTTACCATGAAGGGATTTGGGATTTTGTCAAAGATCTTTTCTTCATTTTTTTGACATATTCATGTGATTTATGTCTGAGCTGATTTATTTGATGAATTACATTTATTTTTGTATGTATGTTGGACTAACCCTGCGTCTGTGGAATGAAGCCAACTTGGTCATGATGAATGATCTTTTTGATATGATTTTGAATGATATTTGCAAGTAATTTTCTGGTAATTTTTGCATCTGTGTCTATCAAGGAGAAAGGCTTGTAATTTCCCTTTCTGTGATGTCTTTGAGGACCATCCACTACTGATATACTATGTGAGAGTAGACAGGAGCCACAAAGCACTGCCTTTCTTAACAAGTCTAGTCTCCTAAAATTAGAAACGAATGTGTGACCTGAATGTAAATCAAAATCCTAATAATATTATATCTTAATAACTAGTAAAGTCTCTCAAGTTTATTATAGTCTAAGTCATATCTGTAACCAGAGAACAGGTTAAAAGGATTAGAGTTTTAAATAAACTTTAACACAAAATATCTAAAAAGGAGAATGGTATTTTGGAAGAGGGCATCTCCTAAGAATTAAGTGACTCACATAAAGACAGGAAACAGGAATCTCCATTAGTTGGTGTCTGGTTAAGGACTTTACCAAGTAAGGTAGTCTTTTGAAATTCCTGTCGTTAATCCTTAGATTCACTAGAGATAAACCAGTTCTACAATTCTGAGTCAAATTTAAAGCAAGCTTTAATTAAATACTGGCGTGGTAAACAGACTCCGGCCAGGTCCATCCCTGGATTCCTGGGAAATGGCAGCAAAGTCACATTTTGCAGAGCCTTAAAAAGGCAAAACCCACAATTCACTGCATTTCCCATCAGGTCCAATTAGGGACAAACATACATCCTGACATACTTCCTGCCCGTGTATACCCTGCCCGCACGTGATCAAACACATCCTCTGTAAACAAACTTGTTTAGGGGAGTGATAACAAGTGACTTGTTATTTCCCAAGAACCATAGCTCCCAACATTCCAGAAAGTTATCTATCCTTAGGCAAGTGGGGCTTACAGGTTAACTTTGACTTTTACCTTGTCGGCAAAATAAACGCAAATCATGGCTATACTATAGTAACGAATTACTATATGTTATAGTTTTGATATATATTCCTCTCATTAAATTTTCAAACAACCCTAAGATATTATAAATATTTTCCTTGCTTAACAAAGAAGGAAACTAAATACAGGGTTTAAAATGTTTCTTTATATCTCAAATATAGTAAATGTCAAGGGTTTTTGTTTAACGCCACTTTTTCTTAACCCAGCAGACGAGAATACACCTAAAAGAAAAAGAAAAAAGTAGGACCTGAAGTAACTAATCATGACACCTAAATCCCAAATCTTTCCTTGCCTTTATGCTTCTGCATCCACAAAGTTGTCCTGGACGTTGAGACCCTGCATCTGTCTGAGTCCTGTCACAGTGATTCTGACACCAGTCACAGTGAGGTCAAGCAGAGCATTTTGTCTCATCTTTGAGACTCACTACCCCTCACACTGAACCTGTACCCCAATTCTAAGAGCACACTTCTTCTTTGGCACCAAACCCTTTCCTTGTCATGTTTTAGAGCTATGGTTTCTGTTTAGGAGCCTTGTATGAGTTTTCAGGACTGGGCAAAAGGCGCAGGAAAACGTTGAGAGCTAGACTAGCACACGCACACGCACACACACACACACACACACACACACACACACACACACACACTTCTAGCCTGCTGACTTTCACAACATGAGCCAGTGTTGTACATCTTAGCAGATCTGCCCGTTCTCTCTGTCCTAGTTCCTCAGTCTGCCTCAATATTGCTGTCAGTAGTTGAAAAAAGAATGTGCTAAGGATGACTTTTAAAGTATTAATTTTTTTGAGGGGGTGGATGAGAGGGTAAGAATGGATCAAGTCCATGACCATGGACGGGTAATACAATGTTAATCACCAAAGTTATGCTATTTAGCTCTCATTTTTTTTTCCCAAAAAAAGTGGTTAGTGCTTTCACATGGAAGAGAAAACTCTAGTAATTAAGATGGTTTTGATAAGTAGCCATTTTAAATACCTTCATTAGTTCACTCTTAAGATCAATTATAATTATTTCCCAAAGAATTTAAGGCTATGACTACTGTGTCATTCCTCTTATTTAAAAGTTCTTGCAGAATGTAAATGCTACTTGCATGAAGAAAACAAAACAAAACAAAGGAGGTTCCTAACCCTTTGGGGTGGGTGTGAAGTAGTGTGGAGGATTTACAAAGGTTTGCAAGAGAGCTGAGCCTGGAATGCGGGTCTAAAAGGATCAGTACTCTTTCCATTTGGATGGGGACAGGTGAAGTAAGAACCCTTGGGTCTTAGAGACCTGATTCTTCAGAGGATTACTTGCAGTATGTAATCACATTCTTTTGCAGTCCTTTTGCCTTTGGCGACAATGAAAAGAATGTCAGAACCACCTGTTCTGCAGTAGCTGCAAACCAGAGTCAAGTAGCAGTCTGCTTTCACACAATTGTTTCCTGTGATGTGTCTACCCGGATTACATTTCCTGCTTCTCTGGTGAAATATAAATTTTAGACTGGACAGGAATTAAAATTCGAATGCTGTTTCCACAGGCTTTTGAAGACATATACATTGAAAAGAAAAAGACCATTAAGATTATTTTGGAGTATGCTGACAAGATATTCACCTACATCTTCATCCTGGAGATGCTTCTCAAATGGGTGGCTTATGGCTATAAAACATATTTCACCAATGCCTGGTGTTGGCTGGACTTCTTAATTGTTGATGTAAGTATTTTAGAATAAACTGTAAAGGATTGTCTATTCTAAATGTTCTGTTTTCACTAATGTTTTTTCAATGTTATCATCTTGCCATCTTATTTTACTTTAAGGCCAGGCATTTATGTTTTTAAGAATATTAATGTAGGCCATGGAGATATACCTGTGATGAATAGAGGAATAATCTTTCAGCAAATGTAACTTGTCTTCCATACTACTCCATCAAATGCTTGTAACATATGTTTGTATATGTTTCCCAAAATACAAAAGAAATGGTATTTTAAAAACATACATAATTTGAGCCTAGAGAGATAGCTCAAGGGTTAAGAACACTGGCTTCTCTTCCAGGGCATCCAGTAATGATTTCTAGCCTTTGTATGTTGACTCACAGCCTTCTATAATTCCTGTCACAGGCACTCTGATGCACTCTTTTGGTACTGAACACACACGGTGAACAGACATACCTGTGATTAAAATCCTACACATAATTAAAGCAGAAATAATTTTCTTTAAAATGTGCATGATTTGAATATCATTCTGGTTAATATTTAACAAAAAAAAAATGGAAGACCAGAGAATCTTTGAGAGGAAGGAACAGAAAAGGACAGATGAATGTTTCTAGGGGAGAAAAGACACTAATTTTCACAAGATAAAATTTAGAGATGAAGGGGAGATAGTCAAGCTATCTGACATAGTAGCTGAAATTTAGGTAAGAATTTAGGGTTAAGTCTGACTTGGTGTTAGATGGAAAGAAAGGCTGAGGAATGTTCATCTCGGTCACATTGATGAAGAAAACAAAATGAGTCATTATTGTTCTTCTCTCAAACGTCAAGCTACCACCCCTCCAGAAGGGCAGCAAAGCACAGAAGTCAACACTACTTAAACAAGTCCAGAGACTGATTTAGGACTTGTATATTGGAAAATGCTTAAGTTGGAAAATGCTTAAGTATACTTTATTTTACATGCCATTTTTAATGTAAGACAAAATGATTTGGGAGCTAGGGATAGAACTCAATTATAGGGTGTCTGCCTACCATGCGTGAGGCACTAGTTTCAATATTCAGCAGAAAAATAGAGAAGGAGATGGTGAGTTTCTATCATTGCTTCTTTATTTGTTGACAATTCCATATACATGTATGCTAATTACTCTCCTCCCTTTGCCATCTCCTCAATTGCCTGTAGTTCTTTGTGTAGGGTGGAGGGTTCTTCAACTTCCAGCACTCCCCCTGCTACAGTCCACTTGGTGTATCCCTGATTGTTGTCTTTGTTCAACTCTTAAGTTTAGGCAGTCATGTTAGTCAAACTCTCTGTTGTACTTTCTGATATTCCTACAACTTTATGTATTTAGGAACATACACATGCACATTCTCTCTCTCTCTCTCTCTCTCTCTCTCTCTCTCTCTCTCTCTCTCACACACACACACACACACACACACACACACACACAGAGAGAGAGAGAGAGAGAGAGAGAGAGAGAGAGAGAGAGAGAGAGAGAGAGAGAGAGAGAGAGAGAGATTTATGTAACAACAATCAACAGAAAAAAAAGAGGTCATAAATTTGAATAGAGTGAGGAGGGGTATATCGTTAATCCCACAGATGCAAGTAAAAAGACCACTGACCTAAATCATTATGACCAAATTAATTAAAGTAAGCAATTAAGCAAGCTTCTTTTTTTTTCATGTTTGTGGGCTGTCTCTCCTTAAAAGTGGAGCTTAAAGGATTTTCCTGGGACATTGGAAAGATAAAAACATGTTAAAGTCCAGGTGTTTGAGTTTCTAAACGGAGGACTTGGCAGGCTAACAGGTGATATTACAGAAACAGAACGTAACAACTTCCTCAAACAAAGAAATGCTTGCAAGGTGGTCATACAAGGTAATCATAACAAGAGAAAGTCATAATAACCTTTGAAACAAAGGTATGGTTGCTCTTTCCTAGAACAGGCAGTACAGAGCCATTTGTCGTTAAGGTTACAGGTGGTACAAAGCAGATTTGAGAAACAGATTTCTAGTTTGTCTTTACTATGAGACGGCTTTCAAGCCTAAGATGAAGGCAGACTGCTTTATCAATGTGAGAGGGTTCGGAGGTAGGAAAGAGAAGGGTGAAATGATTTAACTATTATAATTTCAAAATATAAAGGAAATCCTTTTTTAAAAAAAAGGTGTGAGAGGACATGGACATGTATTCTCAGCTATTGAATGGAGTGCAGAGTTCTTCGAGTTTATCAGTATGCACTATCAGAACATTCAATACCAGCTTGAAGAACCATTCTACTATTTCATTATAGATTTCAAGTGTTAAGTAATAATTTTAGAATCTTTTTTATGAAAAAGAGAGCATACCTTTTTCCTTAGGTGGGAAATAATGAGCATGCATGACAGAATCAATTCAGGAGTGAGGAGTAATGGGTCCTACTAGCTATAGGATATTAAAAATGTATGCTCCACTTAGTGAGCTATTCCAAATTGAATACACAAGGGCATGAGTTTCACAGAGCACTTTACCTGTTTCAAGTAGTGGCCATTAACTTCTAAGCAATGAAGTTTTACTCTCTAAACAATTAAACAGAAATTGACCTGAATCCAATCCTCTAGAAATACGGAGCCTCTGACATTACATTAGCTGTGTTTAAGACTTGCTTGGCTCTTAGAAGCAGTGCCCCTTGCAGTAAATAATAAACCGAAATTACCCAGAAATTGAATGCACTAGAGATACAGATTTTGTTTCATGGAAGAACTCAATGCTCTGCTCCAAAATGAATGTTGATTTCTTTCCTGCAAGTGTTCTTTCTTTTAAGATAGAACATGAAAAGAATTATTACATATTCCTGTAGGGTGGCCGTCATAGCTGCTAGACCTAACATGATGCAATTATTATAATTTTTTAAAATTTTATTTATTTCTTTATTAATTAATTAAAGATTTCTGTCTCTTCCCCACCGCCGCCTCCCCTTTCCCTCCCCCTCCCCAATCAAGTCCTCCTCCCTCGTCAGCCCAATTATTATAAATTTATATTTATTGTTAAGCAGTGAATTATGTAGCCATACTCTATCTTCAATGTAGCTCAAAATTCTTCCCATAAGTTATTACAGACTGATCTGTGGTGACAGTCCTGACAAACCAAAGCCGAAAGCAATATTATTTTAAAACTGTGTCCATCACCATCATGAACCTTCAGGTGGTTTCCAAATACAGATTATACTCATGTTCAGATCCATTTAGCCTTTAAAATACTTTTATTATTGCCTTGAAAGCACACTTAAGTTTGACATCGGTTTCATTTTAATAGACAACTCATTGGTTGCTGTAATTAAATTTTCTGTTTTAATAAACAGATAGGTAACCAGTAATTATGAAATACAAAGTTGTGTTGTTGTTTCTATTTAAGGGTAGTAATTAGCCTTTCTTCCTCCTATTATTTCCTCTTTTGGTTAACCTTCCGTAAGATCTATTTTCTTTTAAAATTTTCTTCCTTACCAAGCAGGAGTGTGCTGACTAGAGAATTTTATTAGGACAATTACATTCTTCTTTTTCTTTCTCTTTGTGAGATTTAGAATTGAATTTTCATTTCTGTATTCTGTCTCTTCACTAAAATAGTTACTGAGGGTGTCATTTTTTTTGCAGGTATCTCTGGTTACTTTAGTAGCCACCACTCTTGGCTACTCAGACCTTGGCCCCATTAAATCCCTGAGGACGCTGAGGGCTCTAAGACCCCTGAGAGCCTTGTCTAGATTTGAAGGAATGAGGGTAAGAAAAACACTAAACTCCTTGTTGTAAAATCCTTATTGTTTAAGTATGGCATGGAATAGTTCTAAAATAAGTGTGTAGTTATTGTGAACTATCACTGAATACATAAGTGTACATATACATAACATATGTAATGTGTTTATATCTAGTAATTACACATAGAATTTTAGAGTGCCTACTAATTAACAAAGTAATAAACGATACTATAATTCTTCCTTCATGTAATATAGGTAGAAAAATCACATGATCCTAATAAGTGGCCTCTCCTTTTAAAGTGGAGATTTTTCTATGCTAGAGTTAAATGATGAGATCATGAGCAGTCCTGATACAATTTCTCATATATAAACCAATGATTTGCCTCATCAGATATCCAAATAATTTTTGATAAAGGAACAACCTTAGTCAGGGAGCATAAGAAAGGATAAGAGGGTAAGGTAACATTAGCCATTATGTCTAATTTCATGCTCAAAGTAATGATGATTCAAATTCCGTGGAATTGTATCAAAATTACATTCAAAGAAATCTAAGTACCAAGAGTTTAGTTCATTGGTAATATGCTGCGTAATAGCCCCAGAAGAGACTAATTCCCTAGAAACAACGTGATACAAGCAGTAACTAGAGTCAGCCTAGTTTTAAGGGTTGTATTAAACCAGGAACTTCTTCCTAACACCCATATCAGATAATGCCTCTATTTTTTTGCACTTAGCTCAAGTAATTATTTATTGCTATTCTTCAATTTCTTCTTCTTCAGATTTATGTGATTCCTCAGCCTATATTGTTTGTTCACCTTGGAGTGCTTTTATCTCGTTTTCATCCCTAACTCACCGATTTGAGTATAGTAGACAGCATAGCGTCAATACAAGCACCTCACCATTAAACTGCATTTGAATTTACCTTGTCTGTTCAACGCAAGACATACCCAAGCATCCTCTCACCTATGACCACATACTCACCATTCCCATCATATTTTACTCACTTGCTTCTTTACTTGCAACCTCAGAGCAACTTAACATGGAGACCAGTCTGGCTCATGTGTTTTAGATAATTCAATACTGGCAAGCTGTCAGCATTGCCTGGGAATTTTCAGAAATGCAGACTTCTAACTCAGTCTGCCTAGCCACTTTCAAAACTGAGAAAAGAAGGTCATGATTGAGAGACTAGCCTAGGCCATGTAGTGAGATCACATCTCAGAGAACCAAGAACTAGAGAGGTAGCTCCGTGGTAGAAGACATGTCTCACCTTCAGAAGAACCTGGATCAGTGATAGCCAGTGCATGTACGTGAGCTCATGTTCGCACAACACATGCAGCCTCCAGTGGTCCACTCTAGGTTCACTCAGCATGCCAAATGGTATATTCTGTATTTAGCCAAACTCATGTGAGCATAAGAGAACGTTCTGACCTTTAGCCTTTAGATTCTTAACTCTGCTTGTTTAAGTAGCTCTCTAATCTTTTGCTAGCTCATGCATACAGTTAATGATTCCCAAGTTTACGAGAGGTCAGTAATTGAAAAGAATTCATAAGTAAAACACTGTAAGAATGCAAAACTCTTTTACATTTTTTTTTATTTTTTTTTGTTTTCTTTCTTGTTTTGTTTTTTTTAATGAGTTGTTAAAAAGATGCAGCCTATTCTAACAGGATAAATATTTTTAACCATTTCACTCTGAGTTAATGAAGGCTCACAAATGAGCAACACTCCTCATTGAGGAAAACAAAAAGCTGTTGTCGACAAGCGACAGCACACACACACACAAAAAGAACTGTGTAAAAATAACTAACTGTTCCCAGATTTTTAAGTTGCTTTACAATGGGATGATATGCACATGATCTTGCTGCAAACTCGACACACAGACTCTAATACATGTAAGTCTAGAGACAGACAATTCAGCTCGAGGTGCCAACTCCAGACAATGCAGCTCTACAACCCTCTTAACGCAATTGGTTTTACTCATTACTTTTCTTCTAGACCAAAATACAGGCTAGAAAGAAAATGCTCCCTAATTAAAATTGGTATTTGAACCTAACATGGCTACAGGAGCCATGACTATCAAAGGATCCTGTAAGTCTGATAGAAAGAGTTGCATATGTAAGCCTTTAGGGCGAAGGGCTATAAAGTATGCCCTTAAAGTATGCCTATAAAGTAGGGAGAAGAGAGGACATGAGGATGGGGATGTAAATCTGACGAGAAGGTGGTTTCCCCAAATACCACTTCTAGCCCTGTTCTTCGTAGCCTTTTTGGAGATCAGCTATACAGTCATATCTGACAAAGTGAGGGGTAACATGGTTACTCATCACCACAGCTTTCTCTGCAATCTCCCCAGAGTCATTCTTACTGTTCCAGTTGAGGGGTTAGGAAGTCACCATCAGTCCCCTGACTGTTGCGATGAAGAAAGGTTCTACGGAAGCAGAGCAGGACCCTTTGTTTATGTGCAACAGATGGCTACAAAAACATGGGACCCATACCAGCTAAAGAAATTTAAGAATATTTCCTATTTCTATTCTCGACTCATTCACAGATAGTCAGGGACCTAAACGTGTCTCCATTTGGAAGTTTCTTGAGGTCCTGCTTAACACGTTAAACTGAAATGCAAACACTCATAAACTAGCTCTAAATTGTTCATGCTCAAACGTGTCAAACGTGGACGAGAGCTGACGGGTGAGAAGAAAGACAGAATTTTGAAGGATGTGATAACTATGAAAACCCAGAGAGAGAGTAAAGAACTACTCCAGAAGCTGTAATGCAGGAAAATTGAAGCAGGGAACTCACTGGATCTTTAGCAAAGTCAAGGCTGCGGAGCAGCAGAGAAGGAAGGAGGAAGGAAAGCCGCAGCGCATGTTTCTTTAGGCTGAGGCCAGCACGCCCTATACTCAGGCAGGCACTTGCATAGGAGTCATTTTTAGAGTTAGAAAAATAACTACAAGAGAATTGCCTCCATGTTGTAGAATCATCCAAATGTAAAGAGGGCAAACAACCAAAGGACTCCTAACCTTAGCCCAGTGAAATACAATCCAGCAACTTCACTATACAGGAGAGTGGGCTTCTGAAGGCTGGTTATTCCAGGATGGGGTGACTGGAAATACACACTTTATTGGTTTTTGCCATTAATGTTTATATTTCTCTCTTTTCTGAAGTTTGTACATTCATGACTTCGTCCTGTCAGCGTCAGGTTCTAAAGGTTTTATTTTATATTTTTTATTTATTTGAAGTGTACTAGCATTTTTGGTCATTTACTCTTATGTTTATTCTAGTAGCTTTAATGTGTTTGTTAACCATAAAACTGGTAAATCAAAAACCCCTGGGCTTAGGACACACCTCGTGTTGTTTGGCACGCTCCTAGCCATTATCAGCTGTTCCATATAGATTTGTTATTGCTTGGCCTTCAACCTTGAATTTTGTATTGTTGTCTGTTTGACATTTACTACTGATCTTAACTAGTCTTTCCTTTTTTTTTTTTTTTTCTGGTATCAGGTGGTGGTCAATGCACTCATAGGAGCAATCCCTTCCATCATGAATGTGCTTCTCGTATGTCTTATATTCTGGCTAATATTTAGCATCATGGGAGTCAATCTGTTTGCTGGCAAGTTCTACGAGTGAGTTAACACTACAGATGGCTCACGGTTTCCCACAGCTCAAGTTGCAAACCGCTCTGAGTGCTTTGCCCTTATGAATGTCAGTGGAAATGTCCGATGGAAAAACCTGAAAGTGAACTTTGATAACGTTGGGCTCGGCTACCTGTCTCTGCTTCAAGTTGTAAGTGATTCTTCTCATGAATGCTTGGTGCAGAGTGGAGGGTGTCGTTCATTGTTTAGATAGATAAGCTGCTAGGTAGAAATTAAGATGCCATGAGATGTTTCCAATAGCCCTGCTTTTCTTTTAGAGTGTGTTGCTTATCAGCATGGCTAAAGAGCACAGAGTTCTTGAATTGTATTTTTATTAATCCAGTATTAAGTTTGTTTTCACTCGAACCTCCATCACGGCATTACCAGAATATCAACTTCCAAGTAGCCATTGTGAAACTTCTATGTTTATCTTACAAGGGAATGAGAAGACTTTCCTAGAGGCACAGACAAGCCTTAAAAAATGGAGACAAATTGTTTCTTGCCGTAACAAAAAACATTCTTCTCCACTTTTGCAAAGTAGAAGTTCATATGCATTAATTCATAATATTTGTAAAAATTGTAACAATTTGTAAATGTTTAATTAGGAAAAAAGTTTAGATAATGATCTTCTTTTAAAAAATTATAGCTGTTTTAGCACGGCTTTTACATTTGAAATAAACAAATATGATACTCTGATTTAAAATGTCGCAGTAGTTTTATGTAAAATTCATATTTTAAAATAGAACAAAACTAATTTGACGCTACTAGTAAATATTGTAAGACTAAATAGACATAGCTGTGTTTATAATCACTTTAGAGTCTGGGCTCCCCACTACAGTTCTATAAATGTACTTGCAGGCAACATTCAAAGGCTGGATGGATATTATGTATGCAGCTGTTGACTCTGTTAATGTAAGTATTGATCAATTTTAATTTTTTTTTAGTTTAACGCAGTAGATTTTGAACCACAGGTCTCACGCATGCCATGGGTATGTACAAATATAATGAAAAGCTGCCACCCTGCTGCAATCGAGTGATTAGGAGTATAACCTTTCGAGATTAGCATTAATGTAAATTCTGGATCTACTACATTTCGCAAATTCTTCAACTCTGAGCAATGTACTTTCACTGTCTGAGTCTTAGTTTAATCTTCTGGGAAAGGGAAATAATCCAGTGTGAGGATTCACCAATCAGCACTTAGCATAGGCTAGTGGTCTCTAATGGACAGCAAACACAAGTTTATAGAATAAATATGAAATTATCTTTATTCAGATTTTTTTACTGTTTTTATATTTTGAAGCACATTGAAATAAAATCTTACCTAATAGACCTTAAAGATTATTGGCTAGTTTATGTTCCTGAAATCCAGTAGACATATTTATAATGAATAGAAAAATATAATAAAATTAATATGAATTTGGAAATTAAGGGTATTTAATCTTTCCATCATTTAGCTGATGACTTGTCCTATTTGATTGAGATTAAGCTCTGCATATGATTAAGTCTTTTATAAATCACTTTAAGATTGTGTGACTATACAGAGTAAGTATCTATCAAACACTTGCTATTACTGGATAAATTTTTAATAGTGATTCTACGAAGTTTTAGCAATGCTTCTGAAACACTCTTTCTAGGATAGCAGTCTTAGAATTACCTTGCAAACACATGTGAGAGCAAAAATAATAAAATTTATTGTCAACATGCTATTGACTCTTTCCACAGGTAAATGAGCAGCCGAAATATGAATACAACCTCTACATGTATATTTATTTTGTCATCTTTATCATCTTTGGGTCATTCTTCACTTTGAATCTGTTCATTGGTGTCATCATAGACAATTTCAACCAACAGAAAAAGAAGATAAGTATTTTAAGTGTTTCCTTCATCGCACTGAAAAAGAATTAACTCGAAGTTAATTGGTTACTTTTACATTTTATTTTTTAAAGTATTGGTCAAACATGAAATGTCATGTATACATAATCCTATCATTTTATTGTGTAAAAGTTTTCTGTCATAGCTTTAAACATAACATTAATTATTCTGTTTTCTCTGATGTTGCCTATAAAGGACTGAACACTAACTAGAGCACTAATTCAAACCAGTGAGCTACTTTCAAAGTAGTTTTATTTCTTTAGAAGTATCCTTTTGTCCTGCTAGCCATTGCTCTGTGGCATTTTAGGATGGTGGGTAGGAGGCCATCACATATGATGTGGTTGCTAAGGTGAGGTCACCTATGTTGTAGCGTAAAAAACAATATAGCTAATGAAAGTAAGATCCCCTGAGTGTGCATATCAATTACTCGCCTGAGCTTTTTGGCTCATTAATCCACGTAACAGCTGTAGTTCCTTTCGACTGTCACAAGAAAATGCCAAAAAGAGTAGGACTCAAAGCAACAGTGGTTTCTCCCCTACAGGTTTAAAGAACAAAATCGAAGGAGTAGAGGGGTCCTGCTCTCATCTAGGCCTCTAGAGGAGGATCCACCACGTATCCCCAGTCAAGCTCCTGTCAGTCAAGCCTGCCTTTGTCTTTTGGCAGTGTAAATCTAGTATCTATCCATCATCACATCCTTCTCTCCTTTTATACTGTCTGCTCCTCTAATAAGTACCCATCACATCACACTATTAACACTCTCTGTTTCACTTGGACATCCTCTTAATTAAACAACGCTAGGCAACAGCAGCATCCTTAATCAAGGTCATTTTCTACGTTGTTCTAGGAATTAGGGTGCTTATACACATTTAAGGTGATAGAATTCAACTTACAAGGTCAACCATTATATTTTATTATTTATTTATTGTTAATATAATGTCCTAGGAAAGAGGATGTGGAATTGGGGATTTAACATATGTAAAGCAATTACCTAAGATGCACAAGGCCCTGGATTTAGTCCCATTATAAATACAAATAAGAAAAAAAAAACAGCAAGAAAAGGAGAAAAGAGGAAAGACACAACAGGATGCGCAACTAACCCTAAATCATATTCCTAATAAGTAATATAGACTAAATAGAACCAGTAATAGATTTCCTATCTGCTGAATATTTACTCAACTTTTATTCCATCCACTCCACCCTGTTGAATCTGTCACCTGAGCAACTCTTAGAATATTTAAAATAGCCCACCATGGCAATAGTTAATAAAGAACATATTCAAATAAGAAAGTTTGTCAAAGAATGACCATGGATGTTGGGCACTGCAGGAGAATAGAATCTATGTCTTTTTATTGAAATTTATTGAAAATTGACTGAGTTACTATGGTTTTGGTACTACCTACAGGAAGAGACACTCTTGGAAAAATAGGAGTAGGATTCCTAGAGAAGAGTATTTCAGGTTTCAGCTAGGCATCTATAGGTAGATATGTGCACGCATTGGCATGCCTGTAGTACACAGAATTCACTACTGCAAGCACAAAAAGGGGTCAGTTTGGTTCAAAGCCCACATGTTACCCAGGATTCAATGTAGCCTCTTAAATATTTTAAATGCAAGTATTTTAATTTCAGTTTATGACTCTGCCCACCCTTTTGAAATGCACACTCCCATTTTACCAGTTCTCTCAACTATCCATCATCTCAGTATCCTCTTCATCATTAAAACTTTCCTGAGACATTTCAATTTCTAAAGATAACCACAGGCATTCGGCTGAAGGTTAGTAGGTAAGCCATGAGTAGGTTGAAGTTTTAGAATGGGAAACTCAGAAGAAGCAGAGGCTGAACATGGATGTGGACACCCGTGTGTGAATTCTGAGTAATGACAACCCTTTTTAATAACTATATCCTTATGAGGAAGATGAAGCACAGCTACACTAAAACATCCTCCATTCAAAATGGTGGAGTCCCAAATGCTTCAGATGTCATATTTTCTTGGATTTTAATATTAACATGCATAATGAGATATTGTGGGTATGAGACAAAATCAATACCAAAAGGCAATCATCTATGTCTTATAGACATGTTGCACACATAAGATGCTTATTTTCTATAAAATTTGAAGTGTACACACACATCGATGCTGACATGTGAAGAACTGCCCACACATTTCTAGCACTTTCTGTTATTTCTTTTCTCAATTCATGAAACGGCGATGTGGGGAAATAAATATAAAATAATAGAAAATTAATATTATGCTAGTTGCTGTTGTAGAACTCTACTCCTGATGAGAATCCAAGTCATCTGCAAAAGCATGAAAGGCATTTTTAAGTATTCCTAATCCACCTGAATTTAGCAGTAATATGGTTTAGTAATAAAACTAGCAGAGGAAATGATACCTCAGTAAATAAGCCAAAATATCACAGGTAAGTCTGTGAAAATATAATCAAGGTCATGTGTGTACTCTACAAATGTGAACTACATTATGACCATGTTTATACATAGGTATTCATTTTAGGCATCTTATGTATAGATTATAGGCATGTGAAAATAAATTTCATCTCTATATTTAAATATATAACTCTTTAATTAATCAGAAGAAAGAACTGCTCATTGATTCTGGTTTTAAGTGGGTTTCTCTTTTGTTTCTTTACCTTGGAGGTCAAGATATCTTTATGACAGAAGAACAGAAGAAGTACTATAATGCAATGAAGAAGCTGGGATCCAAGAAACCACAAAAGCCAATTCCTAGGCCAGGGGTAAATATATAATGTGTGTGTGTGTGTCTGTGTGTGTATGTGTGTATGCATATGTGCATACACATACAATATTAATTTGTGTTCATTTACTAACTGTAATATATTTTACTCTTTTTATAAAATTTATTTAATCTTTGTGCATTAAATTTTGATCATGTTTTCCCTCCCCCAACTCCTTATAGATTCTTTGTATATTTTAAGATGAAGATAGTACTTGAGAATTTTATTCTGGATTCGCTGTCATTTTCGGTTTGTTTTGCAGAACAAATTCCAAGGATGTATATTTGACTTAGTAACAAATCAAGCTTTTGATATCACCATCATGGTCCTCATTTGCCTCAACATGGTAACCATGATGGTAGAAAAAGAAGGGCAAAGTGATTACATGACTGATGTTTTGTACTGGATCAACGTGGTCTTCATTATCCTGTTCACTGGGGAGTGCGTGCTGAAGCTGATCTCCCTCCGACATTACTACTTCACTGTGGGATGGAACATTTTTGATTTTGTGGTAGTGATCCTCTCCATTGTAGGTAAGGCCATTTATTAATCAAATTTTAATTGTGGATAAAGTCCACACTACTCAAAGCAGTGTCTGCAGGCTTGAGATCTGTTTTACTTTCAAGTGAATTATTAGCATGAAAGAATAGGGGAGATCATAAAAGAAAGCATTTTCTACAACAGAATTCTATAGTTACAGGCAGTTGAGAGGCACCAGATATAGGAGCTGAGAACCAAGCTAGGGTCCACTGCAAGAGCCCCAAACCTCTGAGTGACCACTCCCCAGCCTCAGTGACTAGTTTGATGAAATGAATTTATAATTTCCCTAAAACTAGCAGTGAAGCCTTTCATCTGACAGTGGTTACAGACTGAAAACACAGCAGTAATAATAGCCGTAACAGTGTTTAAAATCAAAGGTCCAAAGATTCAGAGAAACTAAATGCTAGACTTTTACAATTAGTAGTTGACTCAGCTGAGAGCCATAAAAGTCAAAGGTCGGTATTTAAAACGTGGGGCAGCTGGAGTGGTGCCCCGGTTAATCACAGCACTGGGGAGGCAAAGGTTGGCAGATCTCTTTGAAGTTCCAGGCTAGCCTGCTCTACACAGCAGTATTCAGTCCAGCCAAGAGCAAAACTTACATGGTCAGACCCGATTTTAAAAAATTAAAAAAGTTAGAAAATATGTATAATTTTTAAATTTTTATTTAATTATTTCCCTCCTGTTTTTTCCATCTTTTAGAATCAGTATGGCTGGCTTTAGCACTGAACTCCATTCTGAGTCCTGAAAATAGATTTTTGAGCATGAGGGTGCATAATCCTTTCTATTCATGACACAACGTTAGTCTCAAAAGAATGAAAAACATCTTATAGACAAAAATAGAGAGGAATGCATCCATGAATTTAGTTAAGATGGAAAAATGTCACAAGCAGTTATTTGCTAAAATATTGAATTCAAAATAGAACAGAAAATTTGAATTTGTAAGATGGAGGACGAAGCTATTTAGATTCGTGATATTGTCCCACATAAGTATCTAAAATTTCCATTTATTCTTCCCCTCCCACATAGGAATGTTTCTCGCCGACATGATAGAGAAGTACTTTGTGTCCCCTACCCTGTTCCGAGTCATCCGCCTGGCCAGGATAGGCCGAATCCTACGCCTGATCAAAGGTGCCAAGGGCATCCGCACCCTGCTCTTCGCTCTGATGATGTCCCTTCCTGCGCTGTTCAACATCGGCCTCCTGCTTTTCCTGGTCATGTTCATCTACGCCATCTTTGGGATGTCCAACTTTGCCTACGTTAAAAAGGAAGCTGGCATTAACGACATGTTCAACTTTGAGACCTTTGGCAACAGCATGATCTGCCTGTTTCAAATCACCACGTCGGCAGGTTGGGATGGGCTGCTGGCCCCCATCCTCAAAAGTGCACCTCCCGACTGTGATCCCAAAAAAATTCATCCAGGAAGTTCAGTGGAAGGGGAATGTGGGAACCCATCTGTGGGGATTTTCTACTTTGTCAGCTACATCATCATATCCTTCCTGGTTGTGGTGAACATGTACATCGCTGTCATCCTGGAGAACTTCAGCGTCGCCACTGAAGAAAGTACTGAACCCCTAAGTGAGGACGACTTTGAGATGTTCTATGAGGTCTGGGAGAAGTTCGACCCCGATGCCACTCAGTTCATAGAGTTCTGCAAGCTCTCTGACTTTGCGGCTGCCCTGGATCCTCCCCTTCTCATCGCAAAGCCAAACAAAGTCCAGCTCATCGCCATGGATCTGCCCATGGTGAGCGGAGACCGCATCCACTGCCTGGACATCTTATTTGCTTTTACGAAGAGGGTTTTGGGTGAGAGTGGAGAGATGGATTCTCTTCGTTCACAGATGGAAGAAAGGTTTATGTCCGCAAATCCTTCTAAAGTTTCCTATGAACCCATCACAACCACACTAAAACGAAAACAAGAGGATGTATCTGCTACTATCATTCAGCGCGCTTACAGAAGGTACCGCCTTCGGCAAAACGTCAAGAATATATCAAGTATATACATAAAGGATGGAGACAGGGATGATGACTTGCCCAATAAAGAAGATATAGTTTTTGATAATGTTATTGAGAACTCAAGTCCAGAGAAGACAGACGCAACTGCCTCTGCCGTCTCTCCACCTTCGTATGATAGTGTCACTAAGCCAGATCAAGAGAAATACGAGACAGACAAAACAGAAAAGGAAGACAAAGGCAAAGATGGGAAAGAAAGTGGAGAATAGAGCCTCATGTGTTTACAGCCTGTGAAGGTGACTCACTGGTGTTAATAAGACTCTTTCACGGAGCTCTATGCCAAACTCTTTTTATCCAAACATTCTCAAAGGCAGCCCAGCCCCTAGCTCGGATCCAATGGGTGTAGGGCAGGCAGCATTGGCACGTGGCTATTTTTGCATTGGTAAATGGTTCTGTAAGAATTATGAGCGTAACTCTGTAGGGAATAATCATTACTACAATCAAGGGTGATTTAATCATTTAACAAGTCCCAAAAACCATGGAGGCCATTTTGTCTCCATATCTTTTCTCTAGCTTCTAATTAAGTGTGTACCCCATCTAAATATTGAAATTCAGGTACAGACGGAAGCATACACACAGACACAAATACGAACAGGATTAGTTATGATTGGGAATTCAGTGCAAGTATTTTGCCTCTGGTTTGAAATGAAATTACTTGTAACAGTAATGGGATTTAGTAATGAAAGTTTTTGTCAAAACCTCTTACTATTAGGGAGTCAGACTCTTTATCCATAACTAGAGTTCAGTTTATATTTTGAGGTGCTCTAACTTACCCTACATTGCATCAAAAGCAATTTATAGGTATCTATAAGATGTCATGGGATTGAAGCATACGTAGGCTACTTATTTAAGAAATCACTTGTATTTGCGTAGATTAGCATTCACTTTGATTTATGATGACATCTGCAGAATTTTGTGCTCACTTGATTCTCCCACCTCAGTCGCTTAGCTTGAACTTTAGGTTCACTGAGAACAGCTAGCCTGTCTTTCTTACATCCCACATTGTATGTACAATAACTACGGACCTTGAGAAATTATGGGAAATATTACATATATCACATTTCATAATATAAAACACGAAGACTAATAACAGAAAAAAATATTCTTCAAAGTTCTATTTACTTACATTTATTTCATCCGGCTTGCCCAGTAAGACAGCTAATGGCTCAACTCTGAATGCCAGTTGTCACATTTATCTTCTTATACCATATTGGTCTGTCATATTTTATCTCTAAGCAAATTTAATGTATCCTTTTAATGAAATGCACCCTGAAATGCAATTAGCTACTTGATACCCTAGCACTTGTTTGAGCAGATGACCGGAACACTGTATGTACTGCATCCCTTAAATACAATCCTTAATGTGTTTGGCAGCTTCCCAAGATACAAGGAACACCAGGCTTGTGATACCTGCCCACCAGGTGTGCCGTCTGAATGAAGCAGCATTCAGAGAGCGAGTCTCAGCAGCTTGCTTTACCATCACTAATTTCCCTGATTGTGGAAGTAAACCTCTGGACCTCTCTTATTTCATCTGTAAATAACATAGCTGACACTTCCTCCTTAACATGCAAATCTGTGATATGAAATATCCTTTACATTGAGCAGGAAAATAGCCCAGGCTTATCGTTTTGAAAGCCCATTCATTTTGAGCTGATTGGAACGACCCTACAAAGGACTGGAAATCTACTTTATGTTTTTGAAGCACTTGGTAAGCATAAGTTGCTCTGATTCTTTCTCGCATAATTTTACTCTAAGAAGATGAAGCCATTCTTCCAACACATTATCTTTGCAGAGAAAATAGAGCTGAGTAAAAGTAGACAATTCTGAGGGAAATTTTGAAGTGACTGCATAAAACATACTTCATCAAATTGCTTTTGAAATTCAAAGGCAACACAAGTGTTGGTATAGTAAGTAATCAAAACATATATTCTTTATTTTTTGCCCAGTTAAAAAGAAAAGTTTAAACATTACTAGAGACATGAAGAGACAAAGATAGAGAGTGAGGAATACAAGGAGGGAGAGAAGAAGCGAAGCTATAAGAACAAGAAGAAAGATATAGTTATAGAGACTTGCTCAGAATGCTGTCCACTGTGGTGCGTTCTACGGTGTCCTATAGAAGAGTCTCGTTACACACATTTGTCTAAGGGACCTAAGAAGTTACATGTAAGACTGACGGCTCTCTGCATCTATACTTAATCATTTAGCCTAGTTTGGTGGGGTGGGGGGGGCTACTTTTTAATTTCTACAGAAGATTCCAAACAGTGCTCAGCTCAGCAATATAGAGCCCTGTGCATCTGTTAAGCTGCTAGAATAGGTTTGGTCGGCTTAATTTGGGGAGCCACACAAAACCTTTCATTTGTAACAAGCTTTAATACATTCAGTTAAGAAAGTAGCTTGTTTAACAGTTGAAATCAGTTTCTCATTGTTTCGCGCCCATTAATAATATAACTACATTGTAAATATTTTTATGGATATAGTATGTGCAGATGTCTGGTATAGATTACCTGTGATTTGCTATTCATGTTTTTACAGTGGTTAATTTTTATGTAAATTTAATATATTGGCAACTGGTTCCTCAACACACTTTTTTTTAGCATTGCAAAAAATAACAGTTATAAAGTTTCTCTTTTTTCTACTTCGTGCTGAACATATTTCATTCTGAACTATATAATTTTAAATGTGATATTAAGTTTTATACATACAAATATGTTTATCCTCCAAATCACTACTTATGACATAGTATCCATTAAAAATGGTATTTTTGTTAGACAGGATTTCTCCCGGTAACCCTGGCTTTCCTAGAACTCACTCTGCATACCAGGCTGGCCTTGAACTAAGGGAGATCTGCCTTCTTCTGCCTCCTGAGTGCTGAGATTAATGGCATGCACCACCACTGCCTGGTCTAAAAATGGTATTTGACAATAGGATAACATTTAGTAAAAGCTTAAAGCAAGCTTACACCCCTTTTCATATTGGCTAGTGTTTGTGCTAATTATAAAATGTTGTCCCACTGAAACTACTAGTCATATATCCACTAAAATTATTTTACCTATGGACATAGAATGCTGACTATATAAATGAAGATAGAGATTAGCATTCAATAAAAGAAAACATATGTGAGCGCACATCCATCTACGTAATTTGGGTGAAAACAGGAGAATCTCATTTAACTAATTTGTCTCTTCTCACTGAAAATAGTAAAAGAAATCTGTGAGCTATTTCAAAATTCAAATTGTCACATCTTGCGGTCGTAAATATTTAGCATGGTTTTGTAGAATTTTGATAGTTTTATAAGAGTGGAAATTCAATGCATATGTAAATAAAACCGTCCACACTAGCAAATTCATCAAACATTAATTGAAGTAATGAAAGGGGGGCAGCTAAATAAGGATGGTCAGTACCTGACCTGGGTTTAGAACTTATGTGTAGAGCCATCAATTTTTCAGTATATGTTTTCACTATGTCGTTAGTTTCCTGATGAAAACAATCAAGAACTGCTCCCAGCACATGAATAAGTAGCCATGCATATATGAATGCTGTTTACAAAACCCATAGACCCATGAATGCTCAAAATGTTTCAGTTTGTCAACATTACATTGTAGCTATAATTGTTAATAGAATCTAAAATAAAAGTCACTAAAAATGAAATGATGTCATATTTATTTTGTGTCTCAGTAAGCTTAGGGGTAAATTTATGCATCCCTAATAATTGTTAGTATTTTTTCTTTTTCTTTCCTTTTTTTGTCTTTGCAACACAGACAGCTTCATTGTAATGACTCCTGGATGCAAAAGCTGAGGAAGAGAAGTTTGGAATTCCAAAATAATTCATTCAGCTCCACAAGGGAGTTTGTATAGGGGGGAGAAATTGAGACAGGAAGTAACCAAAGGCAAACATTTAGCCACACAACACTAATGTACGCTTGTTCTTCTAGTCCCGACATTGCGAAGCTGCATAGCATGCATGACAGGTAATAGTGTGTGTGCCTTCCGAGCCATATATAGATTCAAAACAAACCATGCTCCTGGATACATTACCTTTGTGGACCTCTGTTCACATTGAAAATACAAGAGGGTGCTACTTCACACATGGTAGGAAAGATAGGATAAAACAATTCACATGAAGCCATTAAGGCTGTTCCTGACAACGCAGAGTCAAGAACTTTGCTCAGTAGAGGTGCTAGGGTGACGCTCCATGACCTACCAAGGATTTTTGGAGTCCTGGCTACTTGTACATTGGGCAGAACCACAACATAGTAAACATACATGCTCAATAATGGCCATGATAAATATACTCCCAGAAGAGTTTCATGCCTTTACTGTAAAAAATGAATATTTAGTGATGTGCTATATATACAAATATTTCAAAGGTAGGGTTTTTGTGATTTGTAAATTGAACCTATATGTTAAAGTCAGATAACATGGACATTTACAAAAGTTTAAAGCATTTCTAAAATGTGGATATTTGTTCTAAAATTTAGCTATATAATTAATACAAACCCCTGTATTTTATTTTAACTGTGAGCATTTTAACTGTGAGTAATTTTCATTTAATTTTTTTTAAATTTTACATACTAGCCCCAGTTCCCCCTCTCTCTCCTTCTCCCACCGTCCCACCTACCCCCAGCCCACTCTCTCCCATCCACTCCTCAGATAAGGTAAGGCCTCCCTTGCAGAGTCTGCAAAGTCTGGTACACTAAGTCGAGGCAGAACCAAGCTCCTCCCTCCTATATTAAGGCTGAGCCAGGTATCCCATCATGGGGAATGGACTCCAAAATGTCAGTTAATACACCCAAGATATGTCCTGGTACCACAGCCAAGGGTCCCTGCAATAGATCAAGCCAGGTAACTGTCACCCACATTCAGAAGGTTTAGCTCATTCCCATGAAAGACTCCCCAACTGTCATTCCAGAGTCTGTGAGCTCCCACTAGCTTGGGTCAGCTGTTTCTGTAGTTTTCCCAGTCCTTGACCTATGACCTTCCTTGCTCCTAGGATCCCTCTTCCCTCTCTTCAACTAAGTTCCCAGAGCTTAGCCATCAGTCAGTGCTTGGTTGTAGATCACTGCATCTGCTATCATCAGTTACTGGATGTAGGCTTTAGAGCATCCAGTATTTTTAATGATTTTCATACAGTAGAAATAATAGATGTTATATTGTGTTATTATTTCAACCTTGGAAATAATATAATAGAATGCAGGATGGTTTCAAAAGATTGCTAGGAACCTCTGTAATGGTAATAATATTTGCCATGGTCACTCTGTTAAACAAAATTATAGGCACTAAATGATAGCATAAAACACCCAACCTGACTGATGGATATAGACAAAAATTTCCTCCGACAGAAAAAAAGCTCAAATCTTCCAATGTTGTAAGCCGCATGAATCCATAACACAAGCAAAATGAGATGTAGAAGTCAGAGCAATCTCTCTTCTGGGCAGAGGGGATTATCCATCCGCCAGAGCAGAAGGGAATTTTGCTGAAGCAGCACCTCACGAACACAACAGAAGAACATGAATAATTGATAGTTTTATGCAAGCAAGAGAGCAAACATGCTTCCCTTAGCTCGATTCTCTGTCACTCTTGAGTTGCACTTAGAGAAGTGATTGATCTGTCTGGGGGAAGCGAAATTGAAAAGATTTGAGTAGCTTCTCTAATGCTTGTCATGTGCTGCAGCTGGAAGACCAGAGATCCCTATGAACATCAACACTCTAGAAGAACTGAGCAAAAATACTCCATGTTCCAGATAAGCTGATAGGCCCTAAGTTTTATAGTATTCTTATAGAAGCAGAATATCTTTAAAATTATATTTCTCTTATCAAAATATAATTATCTTAATCACTTATAATTCATTTATACTTCAGTAAAATATAAAATGTCATATTTATAGAAAATATATCTCACTAGTATTAAGAACATTCTAAAATTAAATTACAATTATTTTAAATTTAACCTAGATTTCTGGGTGCTGTTTTAATAAAAACATTCTTTTACTTATGGTTAATCTTGTGGTCGTTTGTGAATCTCAAGATTTATTCTCTTCATTTATTTAATGAATATATTATTTATTCCATTCTTGTGTTCAAAAAAAAAAAAACCTTTAACATGTGAATTTTCTCCCAGCACTTGAGAATGGGAATCTTTATATGAGAATTTCATCTCAGTCATATAAGAGGCTTGAGACAACTGTAATACAGGACCTTCCCCTAAAACAAACAAAATCTTCCCATGCCCTACCCTCACCTCAGTTTAGTCCTTTAATCCTTAGTATTCCTCCATTTCTTTCTTTTGAAAAGTGTTCTGCTAACTCTCAACATTCTTTAAAAATTGGGTTGTGGCCCCAGCTAGGTCCTTGGGCAGCAGAGCAGAGGGTGCCTGAACTGGCCTTGCCCCACTATCACACTGATGATTATCTCGAATATCACCATAGAATCCTTGTATGGCGACGGATGGAAATACAGAGACAGAGACCCTCATCAGAGCAACGGACTGAGCTCCCAAGGTCCAGTTGAAGAGCAGAAGGAGGGAGAAAAAAGAGCAAGGAAGTCAGGACCGCGAGGGGTCGGTCCACCCCCTGAGACTGTGCCTGTTCTAATGGGAGCTCATCAAATCCAGCTGGACCGGGACTGAATGAGCATGCAATCAAACTGGACTCTCTGAATGTGGCTGACAATGGGGGCTGACTGAGAAGCCATTGATAAAGGCACTGGGGCCTGTTTCTACTGCATGTACTGGCTTTTTGGGACCCTAGTCTATTTGGATGCAAAGCTTCCTAGGCTGGGATGTAGGGGAGAGGCAAACTTCCCTAGGGCAGGGTTCCTAGCCCTCTCTTAAGGGGGGAGGGGGAGGGAGGAGGGGGAGCGGGGGAGTGGGAGAGGAATGGGAGGAGGAGAGGAAGTGTAAATTTTTGAATGGAAAAATATTTTTTTAAAAATTGGGTTGAGGGGTAATAGCCACACGGCTGTGCATATCTCTTTAATTTCTGCCCGTGACTGAACAATGTTGTTCTCCTTGATAGTTTTAAGTATAAAAAAGAAATAAAACAAATAAAATCAAATACAAAATAATAATTCTACATTAATGTATCTTGCTTTGAGGATTCCTAATAGTCGGTGCTAAGCTTCTAGTTTGTTCATTTGTTGTTGTAGGGCGCCACCTCGTGGATTGTCCTGCACATGCCTTGTCTGTGACAGCTCTAGGAAAGGTCTCTAGAATATGTCAACCTTTTCCTGAGGACGAAATCTCTCCCATTTGTGAACAACTGTTCTTGGCTTTGTTTACCAATTAATGAGTGACAAATGACTTGTTCTACCCTTGCTAATAATTAAGAGCAAGAAGCACAGAGGGAAGGCTGCTTTTTAATTAGAGGGGACTGTTGGTTTAATGTCTATTTGTTTTATGGTTTCTAAAAAAAGAACTTCTTCTGAATAAAAAAAAATTCCTCACACTTATAGAGTGTCAAGCCAGTTTTTGCATCCTTAATGAATAAGTGGTACCTTGTTTCATTACATGTAGAAATGTCTATCTGTAGCTGTATTTCCTTGTACCTTAATATAGAAAAGTCGAGTTCGTCAACTTTCCCTGTATACCATTCTTCTCCAGCACGAACCTTCCCATTCTTCAAATGACTTTGCTTATCCTAATGTGGCAGGAAGGATTCTGCTCAAGAAGAAAGACATCTATAGACATCACACAGAATGAGACTTACCCAGCGTTCTCTATTAGAAAGGCTCTGTGTGGGCATTCATTACAATATTTTAGATATAACTTCCATAAAGATGTGGCACACCAGCATTTTTTAAATATTGGGTTTCTCTGTGTAGCCCTGGCTATCCTGAAACTTTCTCTGTAGATCAGGATGTCCTCAAACTCAGAGATCCACCTGCCTCTGCCTTCAGAGTGCTGGGATTAAATGCCTGGGCCACCACCACCCTGCAAGCTTTTATTCTTAATAGTAACTTCTCACTCCTAACTGAGTGATTTAAAATTCATGGTTATTTAATTTGATAGGTTGAGTTAAAAATCTTAATGAATTTGGACTTTCAAGGCATCTATGGAAATAAATGAATGAAGACTTCCATTAATCTTCTTCTCTATAACGCGTGAAAATTATTCCATGACTCAGACAAACATTTTCAGAACTCAGGGAATTAGCCATGCAAACGTTTTAGGGAAGATGTTGCCCTTTGGGAAGAGCAGGAAATTCTGCAATAACCTTTGATTAAAAACAAAACAAACAAACTGAGGCTCACAACATGACTCAGATATCAGTCAAGACAAAGAGACTGATGGGACAGAAAACCTCTGTCAACAGAATGGTGCCAATGTGGGGCGGACCAAATCCACTTAAAAGCCTGAGAGAGCGTGGGAAGTTATTCTAGATAGAAAAGAATAGACCTAAGCTCGGCTTCTTGATAGCAGCACTTTCTGGGATAGGCTCTGCTTGCTAGAGGCAAGTGTTCTCAATTAAGAAAGGCTTCCTGACTCAGCTTTAGCTGCAAAACCTTGCAGCTCTTTTAAGAGGTCTTGCCACGAAACACTTAAGTGGTGTTGATGAAAAGCTGGCCATGTTCTTTTTGGTAGTGGCAGAGATCTTGAAATGCCATAGAGTTGTGGCAATAAACA